TGTAATTGTGTTTTATCTTGTGTATTCTTCTTATTTATTGTTGTTGTCATCCTGTAAAGTGCTTTGAGAAGCCACCTTTAAAGGCACTATATAAAATAAAGTTTATTATTATTATGAAAAAAATGCTTGCCTTCTATTGACACTATTCCAACTAATATGGTGGAGGAGAGCATAAAAACTTTAAAAACCACTTAGAGAAGTTCAACGTTTTTTGCTTGAGAATTCTGTTGATCTTTATAGTGACACACTAATACAGGTTATTGATTGTCTAGCAGTTACTAAAACCCATTGAATTTCTTTATTTTATCCTCACCCTGATCACAAATGAACTGTGCTCTGTGAATGTTGGAAGAGCAACGTTTTGAGCATTTGGGGGAAAAGAACGAATGCAGCTGACTGCTCATCTGCCAACTTCTGAACACTATCAGCTGTGAGGATGTCCTTAAGGCAGACAGATCTTCCTTTAACTCCAGGCCTATTGAGAGGAGTTGCCATTTCATTCATCATGAACAAATGCCTGAATGAACATATAAGTCCCTCTACTGAACATTGATACAATTCTTCCAAAGTAAAATACATAACAGTGGTAAGAGGTTGCCGACTGCCTGCAGCTGAGACAACTACTTCTCCCTCTCCTGCTTTCATACAGGTAGGTTTGTGTTTCTCTTTATTTTACTTTTCACATTATGTGACTGAATTTGTGCCTTCTTCCTACAGTCCTTCTTAATTCTACCATCTTTACTTTTTGTCAAGTTAAATTTAGTGTTAAATAAACGGCTTGGCCTTTCAATACAAAATTCTGAAATACTGTAGGCAGTTCAATGACAAACGTATCTTGCATCTAATGAGCTCTTTAAGACATAGCACTCAATAAGCATGTGTTAAAGTAGTTAAGGTTTTGCCAGTGGCTGTTGAATTGAGGCCATGTAATATTCTCCTCCTACTAGACTGAAGTGTAGATTTTGATATTGTCAATCATGATATTTTACTGAAGTGAATAGAAAATTATATCCAGTAGGGAATGTTACTACTTTCCAATGTTGTCGTGTCTCCTACTTGGCTAACAGAAGCTTATTTGAAAAGATGTTCCACATGGTTCTGTGCTGCAGTTCAAACAGCACTTAACTCCTGTTCTAATATAAATTGCAGTGACAGCATGGGAAATTTAAAGCGGACTGGAAGGTTGTCCTTCTCATTTACAGAGCACTGAATAGTCTTAACTTCAGGTACTCTTAAGAGCTCATTACAAAAGTATAATAAAGATGTAATCTGAGGTCTACCAGTCCAGGGCTTGGGACTAGATTCCATGTCTGTGATGTCATGGAGAGTCCGGCATCCGGTGTGTCTCAGGAAGCAATAGTCTAGTTAGACATGGAAACAGATAAGGGCGTATTAAGTGTTTCTATGACAGACAGGTTTGGGAGCTTTGCCACTCAGGAGAGGAAAGGGTCCACACTGCTTCTAAAGTAATTGGCTGTGATCTACCCTCTGTTCTTCCATATCTACAGCATTTTTAAATCGATAAACTCTGAAGATTATCAGTGATCACTCCCATCCAGCTTTTCCCCTGTCTGAGTTCCTTCCTGGTGCTGGAAGAGCACCTACCCTAAAGCTACTGTATTTGCTCTCTCAACACAACACTGTTAGAAAAGTATTTATTGGTAGATTTCTGGTTTCTATCTTCCGAGTAATAAAGCATTATATTGTATTTTGTACATAGTACATGTATGTTATTTATGATTTCTCTTTATCTTCTTATATCTCTCTTTCTTAGCTGTAATTTTGCTCCCACCACAAAACCTTCCCTATCAACTAACAACTTTATTGGTTGGTTTGGCAATAAAGCTGACTTAGACTTTTATGTCAATATTCAAATCCTTTAAACTGCACCTGCTCGTATTTAACCATTATATTGTATTTTTATGACCACCGGAATACCTATATTTTCACTGTTTTTTAAATATAATTTACTTATATACTCATTCTATACTCACTGGTTTTATTGGGTTAATACCCTGAATATAGGTTTTTCTCTGGATTCACTTCCGTTAGTGATGACAAGACCTCCCAACAGTGAAATCATCCAGTTATCTCCAAGCACTTTCCTGTACTACTGTACTTCTGCTATGAACCTTCAACAGAACTTTAAGGAGCCTCTGGGCAAACTATCAGACACACATAATGGCTGTTGTTAACACACATTGTGCTTGGTCTTTTGCTGCTGTGTTACTTTCTTGGCAGAGTGGATCATTACATTCTAGCACAACTCTCTGTGTATAAAATATTGCAGATTTGTAAGTATAGAAACAAAAAGTTTCAGGTGAGTCCATTCAGTAAGAAATAGGATGTACTATACATGCACTTTCACTTTGTATGATGAATTATTCCCTTGAAAATCCCAACATAACCGCCTGGTGCTTATTTTCTAGAATAACACTGGGGACCCGCCATTAGATTGTAAGAATGTCCTCTAAATCTAGGTGAAGTAGAAAATTTAATTTCTTTTTCAAATGAAAATATATAACAGCAGTTGCTCCCTTGAGAAACATGATAAACACAAGAATGATTTTTCTCTTAAAAAAACAAATGGAGCATAAAAATCAGAGTTCCAATAAATATAAAGATAAAAGGATAGGTCTGTTATGGTGTATGGTTATGTTTAACAAATGTATTTATCCTTTTTTAAGCATATTTCAAAATATAGTGGAACTGATTTTCCACAGTAGCGGAACAAACTGGAGTAAAACAGATGTTAAAATGATCTAGGTTGCTGCATGTAGCTGCAAACTACAATTTTCTTTTCATATAAAAAGAACTTTCCATGGTAAAAAACTGTTTTAATATGTCTATCATCTCACCTGATGATGCAGAAGCATGTTTGTGCGTAGTTCCTACCTACTACCAGTCTTTAGAAAAGAAAATCAGAGAAAACATGGTAATCAGAGGGATACGCAATTATTTTAACAACTGCTTGATACAATATGTAAATTAAACTAGGTGAAAATATCCAAAACCTGTTACACAGTAAGTTGAAAATTCTAAGTATTTTCCATAGACAAGCTAGCCATGAAAAACCATTTAACAGAACACTTCTCTGAAATTGTATTCCTCCCCAGGTGCACCCACACAATCCTGAAATACACAATCTGGTCACAACTGCAGAGGCCTTTGACATACCTGCGCATCCTAGAATATCGCACAGACTAATGATGAGGAGTATCCGAGAAGAAGAGGCAGGTTTTGGAAGAGGATACTGCCCAAGTCTTCTATAGCTCCGTCTTTTGGGCAGAATCTGTAGGATGGCGAAGATTAAACTGACGCTGGCACTGCCGATGCAGATGGCACTGAAAAAACGAGGCTGGAAGCTTATCACAAACTCGGTGGATTTGTCTCTGTTAGGGCAGCAAAAACTTTCTAGCCGAGGAGATGCCATTGTGGAATAAGTCAGGCGTCCGTGTCAGAGAGAAAGAAAGGGAAATTCATTCATTTGCTCTGCAGTCTGGGTTCCCAGAGAAATCACGGGATAATTTATCATGTGCTTCTTCTTAATCCCTCCAGCCAGAGCTACTCTGTCCTACATCTTCTTAGGAACCCTGTGAAAGAAACGGTAACGACATTTAAAACAAAATAGGTAGACAAAACTGTAAAAGATAATTATATTTATAATATACTACACGATTCTTTTGGCTATACAAAATAGAAAATGGTAAAGATTTAACTGATTCAAAAGAGTTAATTGATAACATTTCAAATACAGAGCTTTTTAAAAGTTTCAAAGGGAGGGAAATAAACAGTAAATCAATGGATTAGACATATGGGATTCTTCCTGTTATTTTTTATGTATAATTCTAATATGGTTGTCCCAATATTTTACCTTTGTGGTTAAAAAAAAAGAAAAAAGGTGTTACTCTGTTGTACAGTAGAGGATCCTAGAGAGTCTGGGAAAGGTTTCTTTTAATTCAATGTCCACTCGGGTTTTCAAGTAAAAAAAAGCAGATCTTTGCATATTCATCCATCCATTCATTTTCTACCTTCTTTATCCTGTACAGTGTCATAGGGAGATCCAGAGCAGCAGGTAGTGGAAGCATGGAAGCATGTCTAGGTACATACTGGACAGGAAGCCAGTCCATCACAGGGCGCACAACGACACAAACGCACACATTCACACCACAACTAAGTAACCTCCCAGCATGTTTTTGGACTGTGGGAGGAAACCATAGTTCTCAGACAAATCCCACACGAACATGGGGAAAAGTGCCTGCAGACGGCACCCCAGAAACCTAACCCGGCACCCCAGCACCGCAAGATACTGTAACAATGTTAACCAGTGTGCCACCATGCCAGTGCTTTGCAAGTATTTGCCAGATGGTAATTTTGTGGGGATGCAACTGAAGATATTTTTCATTGCTATTACATGTTTATTAAACCATTCCTGTTAAAACTCTCTCAGGCATGGCACCCTTAAATGAAGAGAGAAAATCCTACCTTTCTTATTAATCGAGAACAAAAATGACCAACGGGAGATTTAGAATTAGAAAAAAATCCTCAATAAAAGCCTTGATGTGTGCAAATATCTGAAGGTTACCTTGGTATTTCCTATTTATTTCTGCCATCTGGTGGCTAATGCTGAATATTACAGAGATAATACAAAATTACCCTGCTGAACAGTCCAGCACTCTTTTTATCATGTCATTCTTCAGGAGAAGCTTAAGAACGTGATACACTGGAGCTCAAGATGCTTCCTCAGTCAAGAAACAGCCAGAGGGAAACTGTCAATAACCAGGGGGTCCATCAGTGCTATTTTATTTGAAGTCTGTTTTAGATTTCAAAGCAATTTCAAAGCGTGTGTTTTGTGAAATAAATAAAATGCAGTACTTGATAATGTAAAGAATGTTAGTAAATAATGTGACATTCCCCAGAAAACTGTATAGAAAGCTAGCTTTACTAGATTGTTTTTATTTATGGAAAAATAAGTGTGTTATAGTTCAAGACTGAAAGAAATACCAAAATATTATCTAATGTGATATTTCATAGCAATTTCTTATGCTTTTGCTATTTTTGTTGCAGCTGGATGTTGTAAAACTGGTCAATAGCAACGATTTTTTCTTTGTGAATTAATACGGACTGGTGAGACTAAAAACGTCACAGTTATTGGATTTGCTTCTTTTTTTCCAGAAATATTTTAGATGAAATTTCTAGGCAACCTCTGACTGTTGCAGCTGCCATCTGAAGATTATAGTGCCGTGTGACCCATCTGTCTTGTGATGTAGACATTCGACGTGGATGTGCAAACAGTGAGCTTAGGGCTAGCGTTGCAACATCTCGGAAGTGCATGAATGGCATTTCAGTGGCATCACTAATGGTTTGCAACAGCTTGTTAGGAAAGATTGTGGAATATGCAGCTTTTGATTATGCTCATAAGTGAATTGTGAAATCATCTTGCTCGAAGCAAGAGACTTTTCTTGTGATGCACTTGTGACAATAGCATTGCCATCTGATTTTGACAGATCTCAGAAGCTCAGTAAGGCTGAACCCAGACATAATGGGATGGGAAACCTCTGAGAAAAACCAGATTGCTGCTGTAACTGGTGTTTGTGGACAAGTAAGTGTCAATCTCCTTTTATCCAAATTTTCCAAAAGCAGTGCTCCAGCATGATGACTGGGGAATCTATGTTGTAGTTTCTGAGATCTGATGAGATCAAACTATGGGTTAGTAGCACTGCTGTTGAAGTTACTGTTGGCATACAAATGCCATGTTTGGTATATTATCACCAAATAGTCTGTATTACCCTGTATCAAGGACTGAGTTGCATGGATACCTCTTTGGCTTGATCAGATCTCTAGTCTTGCCTTGGGATAATGGAATTTCATGCTCTAAAGAGCTCTTTTTCCAGGTTTGCTGAATGAGTGGAGTCTGACAATAATGTCAGGCACATGTTCGGTGGGTTATAGCTCTTGATTCATCAATGAACAGTAGACTAGCCCCTTGAATCTAATTCCAGGCAATGTGTTGGTGTACCAAGTAAAGCTGACCTTGAGGGTGTCTGGAATGGGGTCACTGGAATGGCCGAAGAGCATTTTCACATAGATGCATCAGTAACAGCTCCTATCCTGCAATGTTCAGGGAGTTTCTGTTTGCTGACTGTTTTGAAAGTGATGAGATGGGTTCATCAGTCTCAGACAGGGTGCAAGTATTTTCACTTCAGTGATTATTTCAGTATTTCCAAAAATATTGCCCTTTCTTTGCTAGTTAATCCTTCCTACACGGAATGATGATCATTTAAATTTGTCATTCAATTGCTGCTTGATTAAAGTACAGTATACAAGTCTAAGCTGCAACATTGTTGCTGCAACATTCATGCAATGTCACTAACTTATGTGGTAGCAGTGTTACATCACAATGTTATTGTAACCATACAAGGTTTTTCCACCACATTTGGAAAATGTTTAGTCTGGTACACTTTTCCCTCTGGTCAAACGTGTTAATCATCAGAAGTTACATTCATAGGATAAAAGTACATCAATACAACACCTGGAATCAGTAGAAGTCAAGTCCAAGGATATACTGTACCCACATGGTATTTACACCATTGTGAGATAATGACCTCCACAATAGTACACGCCCTTACAGCCTGTTCTGGATAAATATAAAATATATGTGCAAAATAGTCTTCAGTGCTGGAGAAGTGAGCAGACACCAAAGTTAAATCTGCTTCTATTTTTGCTGGAGAAGCTGCTCCTGCTGGAGAAGCAGAAATTGTCTGATACAAAGCAAGCATTCCTCATATATAGTACAATTTAGGCAAGCAAACAAACTTTTCTAATAAAGACCGCCTTCTGAAGTTTGAGTTCAGCGTGCATGTCTGCAGATTCAGAAACTAATTCAAAACATACTAAGAGTAAAGCAGAAGTTTGTTATTGATTAAAAGCATATAATTAAATAATTAAACACTTTACTCTTTAAACCTAGACTCTCCTCATCCAGTATTCTGTGACGTTGTGTGTTGTTCTGGAACTGCAGTGTGTTAATGATCAGCTGAGGGATTGTGGTTATGTGTCATATTACATTCCTGCTCAACAAGTTTCTGCTTCAGTTCTCACTGAACATTCTTTCACTAACTTGCCCTAAGCATGCTTTGGTAAAAAAACAGGGCAGAGGAGTAAAAAAACTTGCTTTCTGTTTTTTTAGCGCTTGCTTCATAGTTGCAGCAGGAAGAAGCCATCGTAACTGCTACTACAAGAGACAGATAACAGCATATTTCCTGGGGAAATTGTGGACTCTAATGCTATTGAAATTGTGCGAAGTAAGTTTTACTTCTATTCATGCTTCAGATTCTGAAGAAAGGACTGTTGTGTTCCCCATTCCCTGTACCTGCATGTTTTCCAGAGCTGTAAAATAGCCACTATTTACAGATGGTGCAAACAAAGAGAACCAGCAACCTCAGGCAAGGCAAACCCACACAAGTTCTCAAACCCAGCCATGAACGGTAAGAGTCTTTTCTGTAAATCAAGAAAAATTAACTGAACCTGTTGAATATCTAATATATAACATTCAAAGTCTTATTTTTTTATGAGGAGAAACCCTCTTTTTTTAGAATAGTGGGCAACATTTTGATTTAAATTGTGCTGAAACAATACATTCCCCAATGTAAGAGAACAGAGTGGCCTCCCTACATCCTAGGATTCAACTGTCTCATGATTATTTAATGACTTATTATAGCCTAATGTAAGTAATTATTTTGTAATTGCCACAAAGGTTTTACCCCTCTGTTTTATGTACGAGTTTAAACCTCAGGGTGGAGTGTGCACAATCATGGACTGAAATGCCTGTCCCATGCTAATGACCACAGAACCAATAGCACTTACAATTAAGTGGCGGCCAGATGTTATTCAAATGAAAGAAAACATCTGTCATATACTTTGGAAATGAAAATACATACTGAGCATATAGCTGCTCCTATGCTTGTGAAACAAGAAGAACTGCTTATTCAAGCATATTCTGTATAGATGTGAATTATTCATATTTGAGTTTGTGGTGTTATATAACATCATTTGCTTACAGTGCAGTCTCTAAAACAATAATTTCCACACAACATAATTCAATAAGAAATAGACATAGTTAAACAATTATAGTGTTTCTTTATATCTTGAAATGTATCACATGTTACGTCCAGCTCCTCTAAACCCTGCGATCTTTAGGGTCCTCTCTTCTGGCCTGCAAGAGTACTGATTTATCCATTCATTATCAGAAAACTGTTTCTTTCCTGGTGAGAAATCTGTAGAAATCTGGGTCCTGCTCAAGAAGCAGAAGCACAAGGGCATTAGGTGGCACCACCCCCTGGATAAGATGCCAGTCAATTACAGGGGTAACCAAGAGATACCTATTGTCCTAGGTAGCACGTCTTTAGAACATAGAGCACCTGGAGAATTCAAACTCAGATAGATGGAGAATGACACCCCAGTCAGGATTTTAGAGCTGAAAGGATGCAATGATAACTTCTAGGCCCCTTAGAAAATTTTGCTAGTTTTTTTTTTTTAAATTAACGTTAACCACTTATTATTTTCTTTTCCATTGAAAGATTTTGAGTCTGATTGGTCTCTGCTTCATGATGCTGCTTTTAATGGGCACCTTCTCTCACTGCACAAACTGATTGCCAAGGTAGGGTGTGCTGTTCAGCACCACTGTGTTTCACTTTGACTCTTAAAAGTCTGCTTTGTCTAGATATCTGGCCAGGTTTGTAGCTGTCACCTGAGGTACTTTCTGATTATTTTGAATTAAATATGTATCATGTTTTTCTTCCTGTAAAAGAAGTTTGCTCTGCTGCGTAGATACAGTATGTGAAAAAGTACAATAGTCTGAATGAAATACCTTTGTAATGTGTTTCTTGAATCTGTACCTTACAATTAAATAAGCAATTTTTCTGTGGCACACAATATTGAACACATCACTGAAACACAGAAAAATCTGTGTTGAAAAACAAAGGTTTTGACTCTGTCTTCATTCATTTTACACTCCCTCCTTATAGGGCTACAGTGTAAACCTGTCAACTTTGGATAGAGTGACGCCTCTCCATGGAGCCTGCCTGCAGGGACATGTCCTATGTGCAAAACATTTGATAGAAAATGGGGCAAACGTAAGTAGTACTGTAGCTAAATACTTAGACAAGGTCAGAAAACTGTGCAGAATTGACTTGTCATGTCCATGTCCAAGTACTTTTGTTTTTTAAAAAAATATGTTTTGGCAAAATAAAGGTGTTTGTGACTGTTCCTGGAAGCACACTATATATTATTTTTTTCTGACTGAGTCATAGAGTAACCATAAAAAAGAAATATGCTATTTAAGGTATTCATAAAATTACTTTTGACATCAGAGTTCTTCTTTTAAATTCAGTAATGAACAGAATAATTTTCCTTTATGTATCCTTTCCCATTGAACTAACACTTTAATAGTCCTTCAGCCCATTGAAATATTATATTCTAATTGATCCTAACACAGCACCCGGCTGACTCATGGGGATGTTGGAGTATTGAATTTTTTGACAACTAGATTGTGTTTCCCTTGATTATACTGTATAAATATGAAAATGGTTCTTCTAGATGAGTAAGTTTTAAATAACCACAGAAAATCAATCTGAAGTGTAGCTCACAGACTCTAGTCAAGGCTCATTTGCTAAGGTCTTTTTCTTTTCTTTGAGACATCCTGTCCTTTTTTCTTGAATAAGCCAATGTGACCTTTTTCAAGGTATGTGCATCCAGGATGTGATACCCAGAAATGATGAGAGTATTCCAAATGTGGTCTTGATGTGAAACTGTGCATCTGCTTCATTATTTTTAAAAATTACTGTAACAAAGGTTTTGACTCTGTCTTTGTCTGTTTTACCCATTTTACATTCTATACAGTACATATATTTAATGGTAACATGTAATAGTGGATATTTCTGAGATTGACTAGATGTATTCTTTGCAAGGTGTAAGATGTGCAATTGATAGAAACTGATTTATGGACGTCAATGCCTCTGCAGGTGAATGTGGCCACAGTGGACTGGAACACCCCTCTGTTCAATGCCTGTTCCAGAGGAAACACTGCCTGTGTGAACCTCCTCCTGCAGAAGAGGGCTGAACCTCAGGGAGCAAATGACCTGGCCTCACCCATCCACGAGGCTGCAAAACACGGTGATGGTTTATGACACTGTTCCCCATGAGCGAAGGGGAAATCCTCTCTCTTCGGGATCTTTGCAGGTTGAGCAGGACAAGTCCTACTCCTTTTAAAACAGGAAATTGTGAGGGACTTAAGAACCTTTACAGCAAAGCAGAATATGCTCTGGGCAAATGTTTTGTATAAAGTGTCATAAAAACTGTTTAAAGATGTTCAGATTTCAGTGTAAACCAAAATGTAAAAGATGTGCAATTTCTCATAAATAATGTAAAAAAAGAAGACTGTATCAAGACAGATAGTAAAATGACTCTAATGACAAACGTTTGTTCTATTTGCTTGTTGAGGTGAAATAATGGAGGACTCCTTTTGAAATGCCATTTAAATACAAAAATACGTCTTTCAGCTACATCACGGCTATGAGCAAAATAGCACTACATCATACATTTTTTTCCCACAGTGAAATGTCCAAAGTTACAGTTCAAGGGTACTGTATAAGGGTGTTTAATTTTAAAATGTGACATAATTTCATTTTTTTAGAGGACCCAGTTTTAATATTATTTTGGTGAACCTACAGTAGGATGTCTAAACTGTTATAGAAGGATCTGCCTGCTCTTTTTTGAATCTCAGTGTATTTGGTCTCTTTCAGTGCAGCTCTTTGTACTAGGTGAACTTGAAGAGTTTGGTAAAGAGCTTATTTTTATTTTGTAAAGGAAGAAGTAATAGGTTTATTCCATGCTGAAAAAAAGAAGAAAGAAAACACAAAGTTTCGAACGTGGAGCCTTCTTCAGGTGTGAGGAACCTGAAGAAGGCTCACACCTGAAGAAGGCTCCACGGCCTAAATGTTGTGTTTTCTTTCTTCTTTTTGTCAGGAATAAACCTATTACTTGTTCCTTTGCAGCCTACGCATGCTGACCACCTGAACTACTGTACTTATTTTTATTTTGTTGTTTAGGTCATACAGATTGTATTGAACTCTTAGTGAAGCATGGGGCTGATATTGACTACCAGGTTAAACACTTGGGTTCACCTCTGTATGTTGCTTGCTTGGGACAGCATCTGGAATCTGTGACGAAACTGCTTCAGTCAGGTATGACACCTACAGTAAGTGTGCTGTTCTAAAATAATATGTAATTATTTTACAATTTAACTAACTTTTCTTCCTAAAATGGTTCTTGTCTCTGTGTGACCTGACTACATTGATGAAATGATCTACTTCCATACATCCATTCCCTGATCTGATGAAAAAATAAACACATTGTACTGTTAATGGAGTTTCTAAAAAATTGTGAGGAAGTTTAGATCCTAACCTGACATACCTCAGCTCATCCATGTATATAAGTCTCACACTCCACTCACACAAAGGGACTTCCCTTTGCACATGTCCCTGGCACCTCCATCCCATCTACACCTTTGATGCAGCTCCCTGGCTCAATCCTCACCATGTTGAGGGAAGGTTGGACAGCTTTATCTTCATGGCTAGGCAAGTCATTCCAAATACACTCTTCATATTTTGTCTCTGTATCTCATTCTATGGAATTTAACCAAACCCAAAACAATATCGGTAATTAGAAGAGATTCTTCTTTGCACTGTAACAGTGTTCTTTATTGAGCCATGCCTATCTTGAAGGCGCCAACGTGAACAGCGGTAAACATCTGGACAGCCCACTTCATGCAGCGGCTCAGAACTCTAGACCTGATTTTGTTCGGGTGCTGCTTGCTCATGACGCAGATGTGAACATCAGAAATGCCGAAGGCAAACAGCCCCGGGATCTGGCTCCTCCAAACAGCGATGTGGAGAAACTTCTGAGGCAGGGGGAAGGTATGTCCCATCATTTCCAATCCCACTTTCCTGCATGCATTACTTTCTTTCGGATTATTCTGTGGATACAGGGCAAGCTTCTGAGTTTTTTCTCTGAAATGAAGTATTTTGCAACCTAAAGTCCTAGTGTGCTAATGCACATTTTTACCAGATTAAATTTATATAAATAAGTATCCTTTTGAATTTACCATATTTTTTTATTTGCTGTAACTTTCAATGTAAAATCCAAATTGTGGTGCATAATTGTTTTTTTATAGTCACATCTGGCTTCTCTCTCCAGGACCCACATCCTTAATGCAGATATGTCGCCGGTCTATTAGGAAAGATTTGGGGAGAGCAAGGCTGAGTGAAGTGTTTGGACTCCCGATTCCAGCTGAGCTGAAGCACTTTCTGTTGTACAAATAAAACCACTTCCAACTTCCAGGCCTCTGGGAAGGAAAACAACACAAGACAGATTTATATTGACATAGTGTTTCCACAGTGTGTGCTGCACATTGAACATTTTTTCTGCATTACATTTACACTGATATAATTATGGTACATTTTTATAAAAATAACCTTGTATCATATGGATGGAAGAGTTTGTGTCCATATAGGATTTGCTGTGTCCTACAGGAAAGCACCCAAGCCTGAGCTACATAGCACTGTCATAATAACAGTGAATTCTGACAGCTAACCTCTACTGGGTGTCCTATGGTGCTACTGTATGAGCCCTTTTAAAGGGCTCTTTTTAAGGTGTTTCTCATGTGTTTATCCTTCTTTTGACTGACTGCAAGTTTCTGAATAATTGCTATGATATTGCTTGTTTTCAATAAAAACTGCTATATTTGAAAATGTAAACTAGATTTAATCTGACCAAATCCTACCCCTCTCTTCAAGAAGAATGAGCCAGGTTGCTGCCGCAAGAAAGCTATTAAAAGACACCATTATAGTAATGACACTTTAGCATTTATTCTTATTTGTTGTTCATAACCTGGTCCATAAAAATGCTTATGTTTTTAAATAATTGGAACAATAGGAATAAATGGTTGATTGTTGTGACATTTTTTTAAGTCCAGTGCTTTTTGGTGATATTTATGACAGTATTGCTACTAATATTATTGGTTATTTTCAAAAGAATGTCCCATGAAACACTTTTTTTAGATTTTTACCCATCTTTGTGTGGATCTTTCTGTAGAACTGTTAATCATTTTTTCCCACATTGTAAAAGTCTTTGGACCCTTCTGGGAACAATGGAAGACCACTGTCCGAGATGTGGAAATAACACAGGAGTGCTGGCTGTTTTGTAGTCCAAGAACACAAGCTACACACCAGATTACCGAACAAGAGGGGGTGTATAAATAAAATAAGATTCTTGTAGTTACATTTCAGTTCCCCTGCACCATTCAAAATGTTCTGACTCAAAGTTATTTTGAAAATCCTGCAACTGCAGTCAAATGGCTTATTTCAATTGATTGGAGCAGCAGGTGGAGCCATTGCTTTGCAGGCATTGCCTTCTCCTCTGTGAGACAGTCACAACAAGCTCGTAGAGTGTTTCAGCTTGATCATACAGTTTGATACAATAATTAACTCACGAGGAACAGTTTCAGGTTTGTAATCCCCAGGACCCCGAGAAACGCTAATTGCTGTGTGCTGAGTACTAAAGCTAAGAGCACCTTTTCATCTTCTTACTCTTGCTGCTTCAAACATGGCATACATTATGATAAGACTTACCAGATAAGGCCTTACAACTGCTATACTTGGGTTATTGCTTTGTTTCTACTCAATGACTTGGTTCTGCCTTCCATGTCTCAATGTATGTGGGCTTTTGTTTATCTAACAGGCTAGGTAGGTGGACTGCATGGCTTTATTTCTTTTGGACTAGTTCATAATAAGTAAAATTTATGAGAAATGTATTTAAGCATTTATTCCTGAAGTGTAACAAATTGCAGTGAATGGAATTAAATGCTTCAGAATTCCTACTGTACATAATTTGTTTACCAATTTAAGAAAAAAATAACTTCTTATACTGTATACAGGAAATAATAAATTTAAAATGAAAATCATTGAAAGTCATCCTGATGCAAATTAAAAAGTCTGCATTTTGGTTAATGATACTGTATGAACACTCTGGTTGCCCTTCTAATCAGAATGAATTACATTACATCTTATCATTTTTCTGATGAATACTGCCACATTTCATTTATGCTAATACAACTATTGTCTCTCAATTGTAATAATTGCCTGCAGATTTTTAAATATCATAATTTCTAAAGAAAATATGGAGTTAAATTACTGATCTATTCATTGTACCCCAAAGAACATACTACTAAAAAAATGCTCAACTAAATGAAAAAAATATATATACTGAAATGAATATCGTAGTTGTCTCTTATTTAATGTTATATTTATTTGTAATGTAATGGTTACTTGTACTGTTTGTCTGGTATGTGAGCTTCTGTGTGTGTAAAACATAGCTGCTTTGATGGAAGACAAATTTCTGGGAAATAAGACTGTACAGTTTTATTGTATATTGCTTTATTTGTCATTTCAAGTGCAAAGATTTAATCAAAAATAGATTATGGAATATTAGCTCAAGACAAAACAAAACAAAATCTTTATATAAAAAAAGAAATTGTATTAAGTGTTCATATTGGTGTATCAAGAGAAGGAAAAATGAGCATCTTAACACATACAGTTAGATGTCTTAGACAGTCATAAAGCAAGGTAAAAGTGAAATACAAAAACGAAGCAGGTCAAAGAAATTAGAAGGAAAATTAAGAACGGTTGTTGGTATTAATTATTCATGGTAAAAAAAAATGGTGAGCCAGACGTCCAGATTACAGGCTGCAGGGACTTTCAATCAGGGCTCTGCTTGTGGAGCTGATCAAAGCAGTAGATGAAAGGTTGCCATTTATTGTAGAAATTATTTTCTAATCCAAATACTGTCAATTTTATTTTTCTAGTTTGAGACAGGAAGATTCCCAGTCCAAAAAGTTTTATAAATCGCATTCCTACCAACAGCTGTAGACGCATAAACATTGACCTTCATTTGTATTGGAAGAAGTACAACATTCAACTGGCAATACCAGCCTAAAACTCAGTCATTAGGAAAAGCGTAATGAACACTGAGATAAAATCAGTACAGCCACTGAATAGTGCTAACTGCATTTCATAGAGGCTGATCCTGATTAAATTAGTTTCTACTGGTATTGACATTTCTAATGTTATAACTTTCAATATGCTAAAACCTCACACCATTTTATAAAGAAGGGATTATCTTCAAGACATAAATTAGATGGAGTCTCACAGGAGGCTGTTTTTCTATGCATGTACTGTACGCTAACTGATTGAAGGAAATAATTACAAGAATGGAAGTTCCAGGGTGGGCATCATTAATAGATAAGTGTTGTTTCTGCTCACTGAAACCAGAATCATCATAATCTAGATCCAGAAAACTGTTTTTACAGGACTTTAAAGCTGGTATATTGAAAGCCCGGTGCATGTCAAGATTAGCGGGCAAGCAGTGGATTAGAAATTGATGTTAAAATGTTCTGTTTCAACACTTTTGATTAAAAACAATGGTGAACTCTAACTCAAACTGTCCAGTGCATTTGATATGTAAAATAGTATCCCAAACAGTGTCAGTTTTGTTTTCTTATCAAAGAAATTCCTTATTGTGTGGATCAGGTGTTGTGCAGAATTTAGATGTTGATATACTGTATTTAGCAATAAATTCAAAATTTTATTAACATTTAAATCTGTGCAATATTTTCAGGTAAAAAAGCTATTTGGGTAAACAATTTTATAAGTGATTCAGTGGTACACAGCTGGAGACATTATGCTCATTTGACCTGTGTCTAAGGAATTTTAGAATCTGTCAATTCCTTGGTCATCTACAGTAACAACATCATAGAATAAACTTGGATGGAGCCGAGCCAGGTCCTGTCATCTCTGCTGTTTCTAAATGCCGCAGTGACCATTTCACTGATAGCTCTGTGTCTATTTATCTATTTTGCCTTAAGATGGAAAAAAGGCATGCTAGCATTCAAGAACAATGTCGAGAACATCTCAACATATAAATCTCACAATTAACACCGTACGGTATTAAGAGCATACAGTCGCTATAATTATATACTTAAATATACTGCTGTGGTTTCGGCTAGAGACTTGTAAACTTGTCTTTAAAATCTATAAGAAGTGTTGCAGACCAATGTAGCAGGCCCTGCTATTTAATCTCTGAAGATCCTCTCCCTTGTTACCAACCAAGGTGAGTTTGAAAGAAAAAAACTATTTTTTCTACATACATGCAATCTATACTTACTTTACCAATAACCAACCCCCCAGAATGCATCTATACACTTTTTCAGTGTGTTTTTTTTTAATATCCAGGCTAAGTAGGATAAATGGTTTGACAGTGTTGTATTCAAATAAAAAGGAAGACCAGATCCCCTCCAGACCACAAGAGGGCACTATAGAAGAGGGCACTATAGAATCAGACTGGCGCTTGTCAGGCTACTGTTCTTCAAACTACAAACTTAATCCTGAGCCTGAATGTGCTTTTGGTCTGTAGAATAGATGACTGAGAGCGTTACTGTAAATTTAAAAAACAAACAGATGGCTATTAGCCATTAAAAAAAATGTATTTCCATGTCTCTTAGGTTATGGAGGCTATTTCACAAACTAAATTAGGATTTTCTCAAGTCATCTGTATACATGTAACCCGATAACTAAATTCAGGTTAATTCCGTTTAAAGAAGGCTAATTCAGATTCAAGTTATCTGGTTAAAGTAATTCTTCATCCGTCCTATCAAAACCACGGCGGAAGAACGTGCGTCTTAACCCAGTGATCGTGAATTATGACTCTTAAAGGAAAACTACGAGGATACAATTTGTTGTAATAGCCAGAAGACGTACTGTAGCTGCTGCAAAAGCCAGAGCAGATGCCTGGCAAAGATTCACGATAAATTGAATGTAGAAGTTAATTACGAAATCCAATTAAATATCTGAAGATAAAACAAACTACAAAAACTGTAAGAGCACATGTGTTGGCATTAATCTACTATACATTATCAGGATTTTGAGGTGGAGCTCCTCTTTAAGCTATTGTTAAATTGTATAATAGTGATTTTATGTAGCAGTAATGTATGCATTTACAGTAGCTGGACCACATGGGAGTACCTGGCCACAGGTCAAGACACAATCCAGGATTATCACCCACAGTGGTCCTGTGCAATACAGTGTAGTGCAATCTCTGATTGAAAATGTTCCCGGATTTTAGCCAAGAAGAAGTGTGAGCAGAGTAAGACTAGAGGAGGTGGTATCATCATTAACACAATAAAGAATGTATTCCTTTATTCGGATATTGTATTTTTCCCAGTGTTTTTGTGGTGTAAATCATGCAATATAAGTGAGGTGCTTCCCCCCTCAGGTTGCAGAAAGTCTTGAGTTTGGTACAAAGTCAATGTTTTTTAGGCAAGTGTTTTATATTTTAAATTTAAGTAGATGCTGTATATTGGTTTTCTGGTTAAAAAATCAGCCTTGTTTTGCCCTGTGTGAGCTTTAATGTCTGTCCTGTCCAGAGAATATATTATATTAGAAAATGTTGCAAGAAATGTTTAGGTCACAGGATAGCTACAGGGAACAGAAGACACAATTACAGTGGATAGAATGAAATATGAGAATATTACTATTTATTTCATGAAATTCCTTCTTCACTTCTGTATGGCCTAAAAACATTTTGAATGCAAACAAAATCTGTTTTAGTGCAAACATCACTTTTCTTATTGCACAATACACTCTGAGTACCAACACAATGAAAAAAAAAACCTGCACCAGTCACAGGGAATCTTAGCCCTGTGAACAGAGTTTGGGTTTCTTTTAAAGCTTAGCTTTGACGAGTAGTATTAACGTTGTACAGTATGGGCTTTAGAGATCGTAAATGTAAAGTACAGTGTGTCTACTGAAACAGTATCTTTCAAATAAAAAGTATCAGCAAATTGTAAAGTGCAATTTCTAAACTTTCGATCTCTCTGCAAAGTTCTAAAATCAACTGAATCCCTAAAAGAAGGCGACAACCTTTCTTTGACAACGTTTTTTGACATTTTTGATTGGTCTGTGAATCGAGCTCTTAACCTCAAAATCAGGTTGGATGTAATTTAACCTGCCCTGGATCAATATCCATACTGATGATATATTTCTGGATTTATTTCGATTCATTGATCATGCATGGCATATGATTACATGTCCACTCACAATAGATAAAAATCCAGGTGGCCAAGCAGATTTACTAAAGCTCATTATCCAAATGGACCAAGATCCATTCAGGTGGACCTGGACAGGTCCTGGACTTTCTACCTTCTTCTGACATAACCTTGCTGTACCTATGGGGATCAAACTTTTCCCAGGCCCACAGAATCGAAACAGCATTCTCTGGATTTTTTCAAACTTTTTCTTTCAAGGACAATATGATTCGAAACCTTGTCAATCAAATCTTGAACTATCACTTTACAACAGATTTCCGAACACAAAATCCTGTTGAGCGGTTACGATCGGGGGCACCAGGGTAGTAGACTGTGAAATTGGCAGCCAGTGGCATGGCACAGCTTCACTGCCAAGGACAGAGATGGCCTGTGGACCACCTTGCAGCCCTGTTCTGGACTTTACTCCCAATACATTCTGCCTATGGCTAAAGATAGTGAAAGAATCACATTACTTGTTTGTCTCTGGAAAGAAAAAATAACTTTAGACTGTAGAAAATAGCTCATACTGCAGGACATCACTTTAGATCTACAGATAGAAAATTATTCTCTTTTACAGCATTAGTGACATTCTAGCACACAGTGTGCCTGTAGCCTTTTTTGGTAAGCCTTAAGCCAATCACAATTATTGAATGCTGGAAAATAAAAACAGTGCACTGCAAGATTGTTTGCTTTCATTCGGCTAATGTTGAATAAACCATATAAGTGCATGGATATTGCTGAATTTGCAAGTATTTTCTGCTTTAAATTGATTTAAAACTAATACTATACAAGGTGGAAGATAACATCATTGAGGGCAGATATATACTGTACATACTAGTGTCCAGCACAGGCATCTTGAATGCTGTCATTTCCACTGTTGTACTGCTCCCATCTTTAGGTGCCCACTAGTTAAAAAAAAAGACAATCAGCATTTATCTCTTGGTAAAAAGATTTAAAACACTAAATGAAAACCACAGTTTTCATCTCAGGCTGGTAGTCCTCTCACCACATTTCTTGAAATTATTAAAAGGTACTTACTCAGGCTTTACAGGAGTCTTTAAATCATCAGCTCTTTACAGCTGTGGAGAAATTTAATTCTTAGTGTTAAGGAAATTATTTGCTCAATTACTTAAATAAGTGGTAGAATTAAACAAAAAGCTGGGAGATACCGTGGAGCTTGAAGGTACGAGGATTTCCACAGACGTACAGTCCTAGTTTCAAGATATACATGCATAGTCTGACAGCAGTATAGCACTGAAATGTCTACTCATGAGAGCTTTATTAGTACATGTGTAGGTAACAGAATGTTTGCACTTCATATTTGTTGTGTGGAATTTTCCAGCTTCAGCAAGAATGCATGCTCTTTTATTGACTTGAGTAAATTCACAGGGCTGTTCTCGGGAAAATGAGTCTTCTTCATAGCAAGTGCACTGTTTTAATGAACAATCAAGACATAGGTAAACTCATTATGCCCATTAACATTTTTGTATTGGTTCTCTGGTAAAAAATCAGCCTTGTTTGGCCCCATGTGAGCTTTGATTATGCCGATTAACATTTGACATCAACAAGAGTGATCAATGGTGGCTGTACTGTGAAAGTCAAAGGCTAATAGTGTGTGTGTCCACTGCTGGAAGCAATGCAAACTAAGACTCATGCTTTGCACCAGGAGGCAGTGGATGTCTTGTGGGATTCTGTCCCTTCCATCTCATGGAGCCTGGACAGGCCTGTGCTTAATCACTGCCCTTTGAGCCACAGATGTCACATGTCACCCTACAGGTGCTCAATGGAATTTCAGGGCTTCCCTGGTGTCATCTCATTCTTCTTGTAATAAAGTCACAGTACAGACAAAATGCAGATGTGTGTTGTCCTGCTGGAACCTTAGTACATGAAGAGAGCCAGCAGGCAGGGCAGCAAGTGGAGCAAGTGGGACCGAAGCTCCATGTGGTCAGGTTGCCATCAATCTCAAGTGGAGTTCTTCAGTGACTAGACACTCAAATCATCATACTTGGAAATCCCTATTGAATTGTGTGTTCTGCACTGCAATTAACATTTCATTATCAATGGTCTTGTACACATGCTGAGATCCACAGGGCCCTTTACACAAATTCTAGGTTTATTGCTGAAGAGGACTCGGCTCCAAAGTATTGTTTAATTAGAATTTTCACAAGGCTTGAAATTCGACTGGTTACATCAGGTACACCTATGCCTAAACAATGGTTTCATAAATCACAGTCATGAATGATCAGTAACTGAAAACAATGCCTGTTTGTACTGTTTTACTAATTTATTTTTGATCCAAAACAACTTTCTAGTGGTCCCATTTATACAACCGGGCATTTTACTGGAGCAGTTTGGATGAAGTACCTTTCTCAACTATAATTTGAACCCACAACCTTCCAGTTACAAGTCCAGAACCCTGAAAATCTGTCCAAATACAGTACTAAATTCTATTAACTTTTTCTAACATACATGCAAAGAAATATCCTTGTTTTGATGCTCAGTATAGAAATGTATTGGAAAAAAATAAAAGAATGCCTTTCCCCTAGTTTTTGACATTCCATTTACAAAGTACAGAACCAAGGCAAGAAATCAAACTGTCTTTGATCTGCGGTTAACCATCATGATAGGTAGCCATGGAAACCAACATCCGTATCTTTTTTTTATCATCTTCCCTATGTTAGTTCATGAAAGCATCCCCTGGCGAAGACCTGTCAGGATTAATAAACCTGCCAGATGTTAAACTGCGTGGACACAAGACCCAGTAAGTTGAGAGTGTTTTACTAACAGTTTATAGGGCCTTAGCCCAGAATAAAAGTAGTAGAGTTGACAACTGTAAGACCCAATAAAAATCAAACCAAATATGACCTCAGGACGCGTTATTAAACACAGTTGAAATCTAATATTCAAACAGATGAGACATGTTTGATAGAATTTAGAATTGAAGCTTTAATTGTCAATAAACAGTCCATTAGCTGAATTTCTAATAAGGGTAATAATGGGGTCAGTGAATACTTATTTGTGGATCCCCTTCGAAGACTTAAATTTCTACCCACATTTACAGTTCAGATTCTTTAGGATGTCTGAAAAGTTGACAACACAGGTATTTTGCCATTCAGCAGGAAATCCCATTCTCACAGTTTTCAAGTAAAAATAATGAGATGATTATGCCAACCAAAACAACCACTAATGCTAATTAGTCTTTATTTAGTCAGAGGAAAGGGACATCTTTAGTTCCTGGAGTAGTTCAAATGGTATCTCCCACCATGTATTTTAAACTAGGATGAATGCAATGGCAGTTTGCAGCTAAATGCACGTTGGGTTGCCTCAGTGTAATTGCTACCTCATATTAAGATGATTATATGAAAATGATGCCCAGACCTGAGCCCTCTGATAAAGGTTGTAATTACAGTATAAATGGGGTAATCTGAAAGAAGCATAATCTGATGAGGAAGGGACTGCTGGCATGCTAATGACTTTGACTTTTATCATTAAGCACCAACAAACAAGTCTGAAAAATGTGTCTTGTTTTAGTGATGTCAATGCAGACACTATTATTAATTCTACCTATATCAGTGTGTATTAGAACCCTAGAATTTGCCAGACATAAATTCTGACTGTAATCAAAACTAAGAGAAGGTGATACCTAGATTATTGTTAGCTGTTATATATGCAAATCAAAGTATTAGTGAACAACACACTACAATTACTCTTCATGTGATCAGTTTAAAAAACACTGAACTATGATTTCAATCTCAGCTAGGCCTCCCTTACTCATTTCTTAGGCATGAAACTGACCTGAAGAAGAAGACTATTATTTTCATTACTGTTTTCTTGTATTGGAGGTCTATTTTTTCTGGTTTTCTTTCGATCACCAAAGAATAAAAACTCTGAACCCTTAAAGAATAGAAAATATGATTATGGTTATATTGTCCAGTGGCATAAAATCCCTAAAGCCTTCAATTTAGGAGAGCAATATTTTACACATATGATAAAAATGGAGGATAAATAGAAATTGAACTGGCTTTCAACTGGAGCCAGAGGAATGTTATTCCTCCCAGTGCCTTTGCTGGCTTGTGCTGTAACATTCCATCCATCCTGCATGAGGAGCACGTCTGTGTCATGACAAGTGTCAAATGTGACCACTTAATGCCAGTCAGTAGAAAACCATAACAATGCCAACAGATGGCAGTCTAGAGGAGGCTGGAATCGATTCCCCAGACAGTTAAAATGCCTGCTACGTTTCTGAAAAGACACAGTTTGAAATCCTAATTAGTTCAAGAAACTGGGACAAGAGGCTTGTTTGTTAAAAAGTTAAAGAGACACAAACATTTGCTTCTGACATTTTCCCTTTTGAAATTCATGTTCTGCTTTTCATGAACTTGTGGCTTTGTTAATTATGAATGAGGACTTTTGTTATACTGGAAGAAAAAAAAAACAGTTTAATGGAAATTTCAAGAAAGCATTACAGACCAGCAGCAGCAAGACTCTGACAATAAGATACTGTGTTACAGAAAAAGAAAAGAACATACCTTAAAAAAAGTCATTTCAACTGAGAACTTGGTCACCACATACCTCTGTAGTGAGTGCTTGTGACAGTATGTAGAACAGTAAGAGCGACTGATAAAAAGATATCTTTGGGCAAATTAAATAAGAAAGCTGTTTCATCGAAAACTAATGTCTCATATTTATTCTTACCTGAGGTATTCATTCTGGCTCTGATTGTCATTACCAGTATTTCAGATAAAAACTTTTAGTTCCACACTAGGCCATATGTAACCATAGATGGGAAAATAGGAGCACTGTGATTCTTAGATGTCACAGTGTTAGGACATAGTCCTGGGTTTCACAAAAGTTGACTAATAAGGAAAATTAAGATTTTTTTTCTCATTAAGAAGGCAAGCTATTAATAAAGGCACATCCTTAAAACACGAAAAGCAAAAAAAAACTTACAAATGGCAATGAATAACAAGGTGCACATTCTGCAATTTAATTTTATTTCAAATTGTGAAATGTTTTTTTTTCCATAGTGTCCTTCATTTTTGCATTACAGTCAAGAAATTTGTATTTGCGAAAGCTCATTGAAAGTTTGAATTGCTTGAATAATGCAATACAAGATATGTCTGAAGCAAACTGAATTAAAGTTCTATGCATTTTAAAGTAAATCACACAATGTAAGGGTTTAGAGAGATGCTCTTCCATCAAAAGTTCACTGTTCATTTGTTACATTCACACAATATGGCACTATAAATAAGTGTCGGGTGGAGTGGTGGCACTGTTGCTAAGGATCTGTGCCTGTGGCTGGAAGGTTGCTGGTTCAAATCCTGTGGCCAGCAGAGAAATCCTACTCTGTTGGGCCCCTGAACAAGGCCCTTAACCCCAACTACTCCAGGGGTGCTGTACATTGGCTGACCCTGTGCTCTGACCCCAAGCTTCTCTCCCTGTCTGTGTCTCATTGAGAGCAGGCTGGGGTATGTGAAAAGATGAATTCCTAATGTAAGAAATTGTATATGGTTAATAAAGTGATCTTATCCTATTCTCATTTGTAATCTTTATACAAAAAAACTGAAGGTCAGCCTTTTTTTTTACACTTATATTTACTTCGAATTCATGGTAAGAGGTTTGGAGGTCAGTTTTGTTTTCTTGCATTTTGAAGTGCATGTTTGAATTAATAAAATTGGATCCTATTTATGTTTATTATGTACCATAAATACACATATTATAAATAATGCAGATTTTGATATACAGTATCATCTTAGTTTGGATTCAAATTGGAATGCACGCACAGAATTCCAGTAATTTTACCTTACTTTAATATTACTTTAAAATTCACGCTTCATTTACAGTCCCAACACAGAGCTGTACTTTGCAATACTTAAGTTTTTTATCTGAAATTGTACACTTATGTTTCCAGAGTATTTTTATTTTACTGATGTAATAGTAATTTTTATTTGTTTTACATTTATTTCTGTGGTCTTTTGCTTGCAGAAAAAAAAAATGTCTTCTCAAATCTGCAGGGATTAAAAGGCATGAAAAATGGAATCACTGTACTGGCAGAATTATCTTACATACTTCAGTGACTTGTGGCTTTACTACATGAGCAGTGTAGAGATATAGACAATGTCTTGATCTCTAAAACTTTGTGCCCCAGTTGGGTAAAACTTTAAATCCTCATGCATATTTATCCTTTGTCAGAAGAGCCACTTGGTTACAGACCACTAAAGTTTGGACAGTGATTTTGTTTTTACCATATGATTAATATTTTTTCAAGAAGTGGATGCCTTGATTAATTTAAATTACAGTACATAAGAGAAAGAAGCCTAGAATGAACCATATCCTGCTCATTCACAGCCTCAGAGAGGTGTTAAAAGAGAGGGACAAAAACAATCCTAACTTTATTGGTACCAACACCCTGACACTGCCTCCTGTTAAAACCCTCTCTTACAGAAAAGCAAGTTACAGGAGCCACTTTCTACAGGAGTAACCCATCACTGAACAACACAGCTGACCAATTCATCCCTGACATCCACAGTGCTGTCTATAACTTAACATCTGAGTGCTTGCTAAAGAACACACTTGGGTGAGCTCTGTTATACACAGTCTGCAAGAAGGTTAAGAACTTCACAAACACAAAATTATAGTTTGTACTAGAGATGTTGATCTAAAGATCCTTCACATGTCTTGCTTACAGAATGGCGACTTCCTGGTTCCTAACTGAACAGTTTTCTCAGGAATCAATATTACCCAAAATCAGAATCAGTCATTAAGACAGTTTTGAGTTGCATAACCAGATTAACATTTTACAAGGAACACATTTCAGGGTTATGGAGTGCCTTAAGAGCGTGTTGTCACTATGCATTATGTGAACTAATATTAGCTCACTGTTTCCCAACGTTCAGCTGTCAAAATACACTTTTCAATTTCCATTTTGCCTCATCTTTCAAATACTATTTATTCTTACCAGATCTGTGAGCCTCCAAATATCTCAATATGTGTTTATTCATTGCACTGTGTGACAAGAACAAAACAAGCATTCTTCCTCTCATAACCTTTCCACATGCTCACTGGGTGAAGTTCTATATGAATTCTAAGTGTTCTTCTTTAAGTAAGTAAGTTTATCATTACTTTTAACACCCATTAGTTCACTATTGATTTTACCTTCCAATCTGCATGATGTATTAAACTGGTGTCCATTTCTAACAGGTTCGTTTTTACGGGCTTCATCTCCTGCTCTGCATCTGGTCCTCCTTGCCTTATGTAATGCTAAATCAGTGTTCCTTCAGGGTGTTTACCTTGCTCACTGAGAGCTGTGTGGGTACTGTAGATGCACTTTTCCTAAGCAGGTACACCCCTCCTTGCCTTTGCATAGTTATCCTGAAAAGAGTATCTGATAAAGGAATGTTATCTAACTCTTAGAAATAATGCATGTGAGTTAGGCTTAATGAAATGTCAATATAATCAGTCTTGTGGAAGGTGTTACATTTATTTCATTCAAAGAATTGTATTTTATCAGTATGCACGGTACTTGTACCTTGTAAAACTGAACAACATTTCCTAGTAGTTTTGTGGTCAGATTTTATAATAATAATAATAATAATAATAATAATAATAATAATAATAATAATAATAATTGCTTACACTTATATAGCACTTTTCTGGACACTCCACTCAAAGTGCTTTACAGGTAATGGGGACTCCCCTCCACCACCACCAATGTGCAGCATCCACCTCAATGATGCGACGGCAGCCATAGTGCGCCAGAACGCTCACCACACATCAGCTATCAGTTGGTAGGAGAGCAAAGTAATGAAGCCAATTCATGGATGGGGATTATTAGGAGGCCATGATTGGTACTGTAAGGGCCAATGGGGAATTTGGCCAGGACGCCGGGGTTACACCCCTACTCTTTTCGAGAAACACCATGGGATTTTTAATGACCACAGAGAGTCAGGACCTCAGTTTTACGTCTCATCCGAAGGACGGCGCCTGTTTACGGTATAGTGTCCCCATCACATTACTGGGGCATTAGGACCCACATGGACCGCAGGGTGAGATTTAACTAAGCTGTATGACACTTGTGGATGCTTTTAAAATACAAGGCACTTGAAGGCAACCTGACTGGTATTTTTTCCAATTGCTCCATGGTAGATTTTAATTGAAACATCCAATGTCTGGGAAATTTTAACAAAACATACTATGTGAAAGTGCACAAAATGGCATAAAGATAAAGTGACGCTTTATGTGTGCTTTATAATCTTACTCAAAGTTGTATTAAAAGTAGGTCCAGCCAATAATCATCCAGTCTGTGAAATGACATATTATGATTTAGGAATCTTTTTTTAAATGTAATTGTTATCGATCGGAAATTATTATTTGCCCCCCGTTTTTACACACAACATATTTCCATAAGAGTAGCTGATTTGTCAGTGTTACAAGACACTGAGCCCAAGGCCTTGTCAGGCTGACAGCTTTGATTTTTATGTTTTGCCCAGTCATCCACAAAAACAGTACAACTGTGGTGTCAAGTAGAAGGCAGGCATGGCTACCTCTGACATTGCCCAGTCACTCAGACCTCTGAACAGGAATCCCAGCAGGGCAACCCAGACCTCCAGCAGCCCACTGCCTGCTGAGCTTCAGAGCACTGCAAGCAGAGACTTTTACACTGGATCCCCTCAATATCCTGTGATGCTGAACACTTCAGAATCCAACAGGCAGTAAGAGTAAAAAAAAATTATTGTCAAGTTCTTAACACACCCAGGTAAACAAGAAAGATGTAAGCACAAGGGAAAAAAGAAAGTTTGATTAGCTGCTCTTTATTTCCTAAAGACCAATAAAAACCAAAGTCAACATTTAGGTTCTCACAGACGGCTCATACCACCTGCAAAATGAGTCTGTGTTCTCACCGGTTAAAGCAAGACCTCAATTGTGTAAATAACTGGAATGAAAAAAAAACAGTCAAAGATCTCCAGTGATATTTCAGGACTAGCAGATAAAAGATGCGTTGCTTTTTTGGACAGTGCTGGTTTGTAAATAACACATACTGTATATATGTAACGTGTATACAGTATATCAATCTTATAGCTTCCACCCATAAATAAACAAAGGCACCTGAAAATGTTGATGTAAAAAAATGAAAAAAAGGTTCCCCAATCATTTCAATAATGCCTAAACATACAGGTGGATTAAACATGATTATATTATTGTATTTGATTATATAATTGTATTATTAAATAAATATAAACACAATATATTAACAGACAAAAACTCTTTTTCATTCTAGCAATTTCAGTTTTTCTGATGAGGGTACTGCTTTATTTAAGCACAAATGTTGTTTCTTTGTAGACAAACTACATAAAGTAGGGAATCTAAAAAAAAACATACAGTACATATATGTTATACTGAAAAATAACAAGACTGCCATTATTCAGTCCAAGAGTTGTAGAACTACTGTTAGATTCACTGTAATTTTTTCCATTTCTAAAGCACTTTTCACACCAAAGCATTCTCCATACAGGAGGGGACACACTCCACTCAGCACTCAAGTGTAGCTTCCACCTGGGTGACACACAGCAGCCCCTCTGCGCGACAGGTCAGGTAGAGGCAAGAGAAACTGAGTCATTAAACAGAACAAGCTATCAAGCACAGCAAACACCAGAATTCCTCTTCAATTAAACAGAAGGGCCAAAAGGGACAATCCAAGCAAAGCAATGAAAATGTTAGGTTTTATGTGGATTCAGACAGTAGAAACCTGGAAGACTCATCAATCACTCGCCACTGATCAAGTTTTAATGGTACTTACTGTAGGTGGCAGTTTCTGCTTACCCATTTATAGGGGAATGAATAAATAATTAAAAAAAAATAAACCATGAGGAACAAGGAGCTTTTGAAATAAGTCAGGGAAAAAGTGGTAAAGAGGCACAAATCAGCTTTAAGTTACTTACCTCCTTTAAGCATTGTCAAGACGATCATTAAGAAGAACTTGATTTATACCATTTAGACACTACCTACATCAGACTGCCCATTCACATTGTGCAACCAGGAAAGAGCAGGAATCTGGTTTGTTACTACTGTGAAGCCAACAGCCTCTTTGAAAGATTTGCAAAGTTCTTGTCTCAGGAGTTACTGTACACACATCAATGATATCCCTACAGAAACCATGCCTGTATGGTTGAGTGGAAAGCTTTAGTGAAAAAGACTCATCTCAAATCTGTCAAGCACAGCAGTGGCAGTATCGTGACACAGGGCGGCTTCTCATCAGCAGGGACTGAGTGATGCTGGAGAAACCTACAGGCAAATCACAAAAACCCAAGAATCTAAGAGTAAAAATGTTTAGAAATGACATTTCAGCAGGGGCAACGATCCAAAGCACAAGACCAAAACCACACTGAGTAGTCTGACAGGAAGAGAGTGGAGGTCCTCAAGTAGCGCAGTCAAATGTCTTTGGGTTCCCTGTTGTGTCTTAATTGAAATGTTATTAAGTAATGTATATGCAGTAAGAAAAAGTGGGAAGAGAAAAAAAGTCTGAAATACTGCATTTATGTTTATTGAGATTATACCAAATACGATTTCTATTAAAATAATATAAATGTATCTTTTAATGCTAGACAAAAAAAGTAAAAAAAAAAAATCAGCAGTCATTAAAAATATGCCTGTTCCACCAAAACAAGTCTAGAAAAAACAAGCTTAACGAAACTGTGCAATTTTACAGTGTTACACACATCAATTTAAAGCAAGAACTGTACATAAATTCTGGAAACCACCGTACCAAGATAATAAATAATTCTATCTTCATATTAAGGAAATCCATAACAAAAACAAAACTGGCTGGTCATTTGTATCCTCTGTTGTAACTGAACTTGTACACAAATCCATATAGGAAACGCAGTGATTCACGAAATACCTTGTGGAGACACTGCACTGCCTCAGCTTGCCTTCTACCAGATTTAAGAGTAACAAACATAATGGCTCAGTTCAGGTCTCAACCTAGATATCTACAATTGGCTTCATTATTTTGGTGTCTGCATCAGATTAAGCATCTTTAATATCAGCTTATTAGCAAACAGAGCAGCTGTTAACGCTGAGTCTAAATGTAGACAGCATGGCATCCTTGATTGAAAAAACAACCCTCTTACAATCGACTACTGCCCGTGTACAGGAGATGCAGGATGAAGCACGTTGCGGCCATTAAGAGGGATACTAGACCTATCAACATTTTCTGAAGCCACAGGCAGTGATCGATCTGCTCTTCAAGCCTTTTACTGCTGGCCATGACTCGGATGAGCTGCAGGGATGAAGAGAAAACAGAAGAGAGCGATTCAGTTGAAAGGGTATCATGACAAATATGGGTCATGCCAATTTCATTCATTATCGAAAAGCCACAATTGTCGCAGTGAGTCAAACTTTTTTTCTTCTTCTAATTCGATTACCTTATCATCGTTTGCAAAATTTGCTAAATTTACAAAAGCCTATTGTTACTTTGTATCTCAAGGATGAGAACAAGAGGCTTCTCTGTGTATAGTCCAATTTCTTTTACTCTACAAGAGAGGAACTGCTTTGTTCATCATCACCAACTTCACACAAATGCTGCATAAGTAACTTTAAGAATTCCATGTTATCCTAGCTGTTATTTCCTTAATTCTTTCATCCTAAACAAACACTGTATACGTGTACCCCTCGATGAAAGTATACAGTTACACAAATTCTATTCTGGTGACTAAAAAATGAGCGATTTCTTGTATTCTTGCAAATAATAATCATGCCAATGAAATGTCTAATTGCCTCAGATTTTTACATATTCTGGAACTTGGTTTGGAATGACTTGAAAATAAGCAAATGTGTCTGCTTCTTCAGACTAGTTCTCTATTTACTGCAGGCATCCCATGAGTGGGATGTGAGGCTTCAAAGCCAGTCCGTGCGTCAGTGGTCTAATGCAAAGTGTGCACCTGAAAATAGGCACATCTGCATGTTTACAAAGCACTCCAATCGGCCAGAAGAATGTCAAACATTGCATGAGTTTCATGAGATAATAAATACATGCGGAAAAAAGAAAAAGTAATGACATTTCTGTCCAGCTTTTACTTTAATTATTTAATGTCTGAGAAACAACACCTACTTTAGAATGCAGATCTTCAGGGCTGGTTTTCCCATTGCTGAGTGGGATGTCTTTGGATAAACTGGTGGGGATACTTCTTTCAATAATGTGACACCTTAATCTATTGGTATACGGTAAGAAAAATAAAAAATAAGAGCACTTAGGAGAGGAGTCCACAGTGGAGTACAATACTCTCACTTCATGATCTCCAGCTGCCATGCTGCGTTTTCTGTTTTACAACTATGAAAAGAGATTGTGAAAACATCACTGCTTTTCTGCACTGTTTAATGCTGGATCACACTGCCATCTCACTGAGTCTCCCGACCTCTGCCCCTTCCCAACACCCTCTCCAAAGAAAACCAGAAGATCCTGTTGGCTCACTTAAATATAACACAGGTGCTTCATTTAAAAGCTGTGCTACAATGTATGATTTGTATTGCCTTTCCTCACGTCTGCCTGCTGAAGTTTCTGTCTAAACGTTTGAATGCCTAATTGACTTACATTACTAACATAATCGACTGATGCCTTGAAGCACCGGGATCCAGTGTACATTGTAATGTACAATATTTTCACAAACCTAAGCTGCCTTTCCAAGGTATTGGAACAAATGTGCAAACTACTAATACTTTAATGTCTATGGAGCTGTACTGTAGTGTCATAAAAAAGTGGACTGATAAACCAAGGAATAGTATTCCTGAACATGGCCAGTCCTTAGCTGCTTCATCCATTAACGTCTGACAATTAAATGTTGCCTGGCATGGTGACACACAGGCAACCACCCTGTCATCACAGCCATTGATTTCCTGACTCCTGATCCCTGCTGACATTTGCTTTATTTTCTAGTTGTCAGTCTCCATGATCAGTTTCCTGAACTGACAGAATCTTAAGCAGGATATCCTAGAGGCACAGTGACTTCAGTCTGAATGCAGGTGAAGTCTATTGATGAAGCGTTTTAGATCATCTGTAAAATTAACAGGCAGGATGAAATGCCAGACTACTGGTCAAGATTTTAATGCTGAAAGGCTGATATCTGTCACTGAGCCTAAATACCAACATTGTGCCTCTGATCTTGAGGCATGAAGCCTGGCCACAAAGACTTAAGCCATAATATAATCTTTAGAGACATTCTGTGTGGTAAACAACAGAACACACACTTTATTAAATCAGAAGATCTGAAAGTACTGATCTTTATTAAATCTATCAATTTAAGGCCCCAAGTGGAATATTGTCTTTATGTTTGCTCAAAGTCAGCTTAAATTACCAAGATCTTTGTTAAAAGCTTTAACCTTTAACAGACAGGAGACTAAGCTGTCCCACTCTGACTATTTACCTGTGTTCCATTATTTTGCTTTTTGGCACTTCTTTCCAGAACTGGGCAAGCTCTTGAGAACCTGTTCCAGGACCCTGGTCCATTTCAGCTGCCATTATCAAGAATCGATCCTGGGGAGAGGCCTGGAACCCTGAAAACAAATTCCCCCCCCCGCCCCACGATCAGTTATAGATCAGATCGAAGACACTATTGCAGACACGACTTTGAAACATTATCTCGTTCTGTTTCCTGTTTCACATGTAAAAGATCTAGCAGTCTCAGCAGCATCACATGTGACTCTGATTAAGATTACCAAGGCTTAATAAATAAGTGGAAGAGAAACAATTAGAAATGGAAAAATGCTGTATATAAAATATAGAAAATGCTGCAGCCCATTGCAATGTGAAGAGTACAATGCAGTGTAGTGCAGACAGTGTGAGGTATACAATGCAGTGTATTGCAGACAGCGTGAGGTGTACAATGCAGTGTATTGCAGACAGCTTGAGGAGTACAACAAGCAATACCTCCATGAAGAGACACGATGATGTCTACAGAAACACCAGGCTCACAGCTGGTGTTACTTGGCTTAACTCTGTATTTTTCAGGTGCAGTTGTTCGAACCTAAATAGCAAGAGCAAAATAACTATATTATTAGTTATGGTTATAACTATGACCATATATTATACTGAATAACTATAACTCCATCTAGTTAAAAAAATATAACAAATATTAATTGCCGTAATGCATTATCAACACCTTAGCAGTTTTAACACGTTCATGTGGACATATAAATAATTATACATTTAATACTTAAAGTGCCCTTCACTGAATACTAAACCCAAGATAACAAGGCAAAAGAGATGGACGCACCTTAAAGGCTACGTGATTTTTGGTCACATTGTTCAAGATAATCAGACATTTCCTTTCACAGTCTTTTGATCCAAAGCAAATTTCCTCTGCCGGGCTAAAAACACAAAGCAATAATTATTTGAAGTAGTTTTTTCTCATTAGGATTTTTAATTTAAATTATTTTCCTAATAATTCCGATCTGTTTTTCTCTTGAATTTTGTTGGTTGCAAGGTCACATTAAAGATGGAAAAATGTCTGACATGATTTATCTTATTTCTGGATTAACATCACAAAAAATTGCAATTTCAATAAGGGCGTGTAGACTTTGTATATCCACTGTACATATAAAATAATTATAACAAATAATTCACAAATGTTACAATGAATTGCTATAATTAAGTTCTTAAAAAAAACATGTTTGATGAGAAAGTAATCCAAAAATGTCTCAAGGCATATTTCTAAGACTCAAGATATGTCCTACATTCTTCTTGGCATCAAAAACATTTTCTTCTTATGTTTTAGGAATCCAGGTTTTAGGCTAAATAGCAACACTACCTTATCTGGGACCTCTTCTAGATTTGAACCTGTATCTTCAGTACTTCATTATGTTAACCATGCTGCACTAAACTGATAATATACACCTGGGGCTGAGATATTACCCTGGCCTGAGGCCTATGACCAAGTTGTTGGTAAATGTAATAACTCATTGGAGACTCAGTGGCAATTCTGAAACAACGTGAAAATCACGTAGGTTATGTCACAGGTACAGCACACTCTAAGCAGTCCCAGACTAAGCACTGACTGTGCAGTCTGAACAATTTTTACAATAAAATCTAACATTAAATAATAGTCCCATAATAAACCACAACTGTATCAATAACGTTTGATAGAAAAACGTTGTATAGAAAAAAAGAAATGTGTGACAGTTAGATCTGCAGATTTCAAAAGTGAAAAAAAAACACAACATGTGATACCTTTCTTATAATATTGCAGAAAAAAAGCTAATCAATACCAAAAACGACTAGCTGTAGTTTTGATCCTAAAGTGTATTAAAACAATTTTATTTTATTTTTTTCATTTTAATTCCAAATAATCTCATAATATGAACAGTTCAAATTCATATTTGCTTCCAGTTTATTGTAATTACAGGCCAATTATGTTCAATTGTTTTTGAGCCTTTTGTAAAATTACATCTTTAAACGATACAATAAGCAATACTACGTTTATATTTGCAAATCATTCCAAATAATCATCTCATTACTTTGTTATAAGCTACGGAATAAAAATTCAATAAAATTGATTTCTGAGAGAAAAGTAATTTCCCAGATGTTTTTAAAATAGTTGATGCTGTTCGGAAACTAGAATGGTATTTTTACAGATACTTCTGAACAGACACATATAAAAGTACAACATTTAATCTGCATAAAGGAAGAATATACAGTATGTAAAAAACATTGAATACCTTATGTGAAGCAATGCCCCTTTGAATGTCGACATGGGTTTTCTGGCTGTTTTGGTCTTACTTACTGCATCCCCTTTGTCATATTCGTCTTGTCTTAAACTTTCTTCCAGAAAAGTCACCTATAAACAACAGTAAAGTCCTGTTAAATCAATTTTGTTCTTGTATGACCATTTGCACCAAGTAAAATCAATTCAATGTAATTGATGGCATTCATCAATTTTGCCACTTTGTCTTCTAGATATCATTAACCATTAAATAGTGACACAGTCTCAGAGCATAATGATCTTAAGTTCCTCATACTAATTGACCCCAAAATACTGTATAAACAACTTGCAGCAGTTGTTTTAGTGTCACTGCTTGTGTCATAAGTATAAATAACATGCATCTAATCTTTTTAGCTTTGATTAATGATAAAGACACAGTAGACTTGTACTGTAACATATTTCATCCCCCCCAACCATGTTGTTAAATTGGTGAATCTATCCCTTAAATTCTGAGAAGCTTAACATGGTTTTCAAAATCTAAAAAGCTCAGTGAGCACTTACGAAAAATGCTTATTGAAACATACAGTAAATATCATGAATAACCTTCACTTTAAAAGTTGCATTAGAATAAAAGGACAAACATCTTATTTGGGAGAAAAGTCTAAGTGTTTTTGGCAAAGTCACTTCATGGAACTGATTTGGAACACATCATGAAGAGTCCCCTCTGACCCTTTTCAAACAGAACTGAACGACGGTGATTGCTAAGGAAAACAGAGGGGAGGAATACAAGAGTGCTTTCAGAATAAATAGTACTTGGGAAAATGCTTATGAAACTGACATTGACAGGATCAAAACTTTTTACTAAGTAACTTCAGGCCAATACTCTTTGTTCTAAATAGTCTTCAGTTCCCTTTTAGCAGTATTAGTGAAATAAATAGCCATCACATGACTTTGTCCGGTGTTTTCCTGATAGAAACATGCTGCATTCAGCTCTTTAACAACATTGTACGGCTCACAAATGCAACAGAATAAAATAACTAACAAGTTATTTAGTATTTGAACTACTGTTTAAGATATTTTGAAGAAGTGCATTAACGACAGCAATGACAGGTCCTACACAATGCTGCTGCAAAGGCGTACAAAATTAAATGTGGCAAAGCAAAGGCGAAGATCATTTTAAGATGAAAATTAAGCCAAAGCGATAAACTGAAATTCATGATGAACAGTGCTTTTATGCCATTTTAAATGCCAGATTCTGACTGAATTAAAAAGGATGATCTCGCCTTCTGCTACTCTGTTAAACGTGTGTGAATTAGAAGTCATGTTCAATAAGGGGCTAGAGGCTGTGGATAAAAATATTATTCTACCAGACTCTATAATCCACAAGGGGAACAGAACTGGTGATGAGCCTGTTTTCAAAAGCACCTTTGCACACTCAGAATAATAACACACCACCGTTTATTCAAGTGGCATTAAGGGTTGAAAATAGTACAATTTCGTGGTAGAAGCTTTGGAATAAAGGCTCTTCCAGATCATGAAATACTGGGCTATAAAAATCCAAGAAAGCATATCATACCTAAGAAAGTCATGACTTGAACCCACCCAAAACAAGAGAAAGTTGACCTGGATAAAAAAAGCTTCTTCAAGCCTCTGCCTTGAATGTTCAATGACACAAACACTGGCTGAAGAAAATGAAACTTTGTGTCATCTTCAAAAAGCATAATCTGCCTGACTAATACTAATTATTAGTCTAGACTAGTTATAATTTTCAAGAGAAAAACGATTCCTTTTTATTGGAAAAAAAGGTACTTTCTTAACTTAAAATAAATGTGTTTGATACTATACAACTGTTTATTTGGAAAATATGCCATTTAAGAACAGTTGTATTCATGAAAATGATCTTTTGTATAATGGATTTAGGGGGAACTGAAGGAACAAGTTTAATAACATAGATTTCTACTTCTTGAATACTTACTGGGCTTGTTTTCAGCAAATTGTTCGGACCAATAGAGCACAAATTCAGTGAAGCTATTCAAGATTAATTCACCATATACTGGGATGGCCTTTAAGGACCTCACCAATCAGACTAGAAGAACGGACAATACTCAAAACTGTTGAGGTAACAATCATATTTACTACAAAGAAAGAAAAACTTCTGACAACCAGATTAGCTTTTTCTTGAGCAACAACATTTGATAAAACATTTAACAAAATAAACAGAATTCGAGAGCGAGTTTCATTTTGAAAATTTTATTTTTTTTCATTCTTTGAAATTCTCGTGTCAGAATAAATGATTTTTTGCATTGATTGTGCGTTAAGTGGTAGTTAAGTTACAGTACTTCTGAAACAATCTTTATAAGACCATTCTGAAATCTGACATCCAGCAGCTTTGATAAAATATTAGTACAATTGTAAAGAAATCATCAAAATATGAATATATTAATGAAATGTACTGGTTATAGAGTTAAAACATTCAATAATCAAGAAATATTAGGGACCTCTGTTAACATCAAAGTTTTACATAAACACCTAGATCTGGATTCTTTGCACACTTGGACTCTTGTCCAACTATTAATCAATATTATTGCTATAGATCATTTTGATAACATGACACACTGTAATCAGTCTTACTCATACAAAAATAGAACAATCAAATATGTTAGTTAACAACAAGCAAAAATTCAAAAAAGCATTCCAGTATAATCACAATTTAATAAAACACGTCTTTGCCTTGCACTGCCACGGCAATAGAGCAGATTTTTTCCATTTTCAATTTGAGCTCATCTTAAAAACCCTTTCTGGTCTGGGAGGTTATTGATTGAAATGTATCATTTTACATTTTTCTGTTTTTCCCCAAATCGAAAATTGGACATTGGCACAAAGCTCTTTGTGTTTAAAAAGTAAAAAAAAAAAATACACTTCACAAGTCTGATTTTTCTTTTACGTTTCTTCCACCATTGAATTATAAAGAATTATAAAGAATCAATACATATGGTAATCAAATTAATCAAAAGACTGCAATGAAATGTGTGCAAAGTCTGAAAATAAGAGGCATTACACAACAGGGACCTCCATAACACCTGAAATTCAAGATTTCATCTGCGTCACAAATTAACCAGGCAAAATAAAGGGGAGATATGCTTACTGTTGATTGTTTCATTAACTTAGTGTTCCGGCTACACTTGGCCCTTAGCTGTAATTAATATTCATGTACGTGATGTTGAAATTTTAGAAGACTGTGAAAAATGATAAATGGCGCTCTTTCTTTTTTCATATCATCAAAAGCCAGTATTGTTTATTTTGCAGATAACATTCCAGAACATAAACTGAGCAGCAAAATAAAGGCAGTTTGAGCAATCGGAGCTCACGGGTTCAACCAAGAGCAGTATGCCACATGAAAGATAATTGTTCACCAAAACATTCAGCTAAAACATAGCTTTTCTCAAATAATCACATATGCAAATGTTTAGCTATCACTTTTGTACAGGAAGGCCATTTTTCAGGTCTCCATTAGATCAGTTACTGTATTTTCTTGGAAAAGACAAAGTCAGAATCATGGGGATCCAAACTACAAACTGACATCAGTACTCCTTGTAAATAAAACACTATATTATTATTATTTTAAGTTTTGAACTTGCATCATAATCTTGGTGATAATTATTACTAATTATCAAGACATTGGTGTTTCTACATTAATGTGGCCAAATCATATGGCTGGGACCAATTACGTAATTAGAAATTAATTAATTGTGGCAATAGAAATCCTAAATACACATAACACAAATAAAACATCTTGAAATAATGGACAAAGTGCACAAGATTTATAAAGATACTTCTTATAACGGTCTGGCTGAAGTGCTGTGTTCACAAACTCTTCCAACAAATTCCTCTGAGGCGTAAAGTTTGTTTCAATTACAACATTCAGAAGCAGTTTTTAAAGTGGAGTGTACTGAAATGTATGAAGTGATCGTAAAAACTTTCAGCACAGCACTGCGCATAAAGTGTGCCTTTCAACTTCAGTCCTATACTATCTTTTGTTACAAACAGCATGTGTTAGTTTGCCTCATTGTCCTTTTCCCTTCTGTATAAGGCAGATATTATGATTTGAATTTTCTTATCAGTCTCATGTTTTCTATGAAAGCATTTTCAGGGCATTCATGTTAAGCAATGGAATGAGAACTACATCATAGGAAGGATGAAAAGCAGCAAGAAGTCTATCTTATAACAAGCTGCACCAGAATTTAAAATTATAAGGTGATTAAGAGGTGATGATGGGTTTGAAAAAAACTAAAACTAAAGGAAAATGTGTATAATTATAAAACCAACCAGACTTTACAATCAAACCAGAGCTGTATCATATTCCTCCTCGGTAAAAATTTAGTATTGTTCTATTTTAAAAATTAGGATCAACATATACAGGGGGTCCCTTCTTAACGTCTCCCTGAATTAATGTCATTGACTTTTTGAGACCGAAGATGTATTATTTCCCCGACTTCATGTCCAAAGGATGTACACTACACCCTAAAAATTGAATCCACAGCATATAAAATGGTAGATTTCTAGTAAAATCAATGCAAAATAACTTTGCATTATATAAAATTAGATATATATTATTGCTATATTATTTTATAACTGTGTTTGAGATCTTTAGCATTTTAATGTGTTTTCTGTGCCCAGACTTAAGTCCTCTGAATGCAAAGTGCTGTAACAAAGTTCAGAGAAACCTCATGAAATGCAAACAGGACATGTTATTAGGCAAGTTAAATACTAATAATTGTACTCTATAAAGAATAAGATCAACATATCTATCATATAGATGTATACGGTATTTAATGTAACTGTAGCATTACAGTGCACATTAAAGTTTAATTTATAAGTATTTTGCTGTGGTGTTTTTATCTGAATGTGCATGTGTACTTACGTACGTGATGCATAACACTTAAAATTCATCACTCACACATTCATTGATCATTTTCAAAGGCTAAGTGTTCTAAACACATTTTAAAAAGTAAAATCATATTTAAGTGCTCAACTTTTACGGTAATCATTCTGTTTACACACAGAAAAGTGAATGTTCTGTTTATACACAGATAATGTGAGTGTACATGCTGTAGACTTCTGTCATGTCCTGGTCCTTATTACTGTTGAAATACATTGATTCTTATGGACAAATATGTTGCACTTAACACGCTCAGGGCAATATTTACGTCCTTTCAGTCTCCATTAACCCATTTCCATTATTTCTTATGAGAAATAATACCCTGTTTCATGTCCTAGTGTTAACAGTCCACATTAAGGATGTTAAACGGGGACCCCCTGTATTTACATATTTTGATTGCGTTAGAAACATACAGTAAGAGTAATCTTCCATGGATTCCACTTGCAAAGTACACATGTACACATACTGTACATCTTTTCGAATTACATCTGCAGCTTCAGTTAACGTTTGATGAAATCACATATAAATGTCAATGGGACAAATCAATTACATTTTCAGGTTAATACAAATTGATGTTAATTGACTTCAGTGTAGCTCAAGTCACGTACTGTAGTTTAATGTCTAAAGTGACTGTCCAGAAGTAATAAACATGGCAGTTTTTGTATTTTACCTTTAATGCATCTGAATAATTCTGGAATTCCTTACAGTATTCTTCAGAATAGCTGCTGCAATAGGTTTGGCAGGTAAAGCCATTTTGGTTTTCTCAATATATTGTGAAAACCATTTTCACTTGACTTGCCAGATAGCTGTGACATAAGGTTTGGTAACATACCAAAATGGAATGCACAGTACTCTCCACTGTGCCTGACTTTCAGCACATCTGACTATACTAAAGGAACATGTACACTATGTGAATTTCAATTTTATATGATGTTGGAGACAGAGAAGGAGGTTTACTCACAAAATACAAAGAATTATATAGAAAGAGCCCATTTCGACCGCAGAAACACTTCAGTTTTCAGAACTTCTTAATGGAGGCAACTCATCTTTAAATTTCTTACCAGACCTTATTTCAAACAAATAAAAACAGAATTAGTTTTTCCTTCTTACAGGTATCAACATTCTGCATTAAATTACACAAGCAAAAAGCGTGTCTCTTTGAAATCAGCATAATTTGCACGATTGTGAAGAACTGCAATTGATTTGACTGACATCATAGGAACAATAATGGCTTTTATATATTTATGCTGCTTCGAGGGCAAAAGCTTGTCTCTTTAGGCCTTTTTATTAGGGATTAATTGCAAATCTTTATAACAGGGTGCAGGACATATGAAAACAGTCTCAAATGTACTTAAAGTTTCTCTTAATTAAAGTTTTATGAGCAAAATAATTTGTCATAATGGGAGACTTCATTCTTCTCCGCAAAGTCTGGGAAATATCTACAGGAATGACAGCAGTAGAAACCGAAGTGACGACTTTCTCACTCAGCTTTGTCAGAGCATCTACAAGACGTATTCAAAAGCTTTTATGAAATATTTGTATCAACATTATCTTTTCAAACAATCAAGAAAGAATGATGTAATCAGAGGAAGCATTTTTTAAAATGAGCTTAAGAGTAAGTAGAAAAGAGTAGGATAGCTAATTAGCTAATTTTCTCAGAGGAGAAAAGAAGGGCAAAAATCTGAAGTGATACCATTTGTAGAAAAAAAAACACTAATACAGAGAGTGAGCATAGCAAAAACTAAAAACAAAAGAATATTCCCAAATGATTCAGCAAATAAAGTAGGAAAAATATATTACACCTAAATGAGATTCCTGAATCAATAAGCTACTGTATTAACAACCAAAAGAGCCAGATGGGTCAAATGGCCTCCCATCCTTTGTAACAATTCTTATTGTCTTGTCTGTAATGATCACTTTGAAGTGCCCATACTGTACATACTGTACATACTCATACTTCAATGGATTTTTGTTCTTTAGGCACTCCGACAAAGAGAAGACAGGCTGTCGTTCAGCAGAGTGTGAATCTTGTAAACACACTAATATTTGTAGTCCATTGATACACACACTTACAAAAAATGTATTAGTAATGTAAAGACTCGCTTATTAAACTAAAATTGTTTCTGATTTAAACAGGATACAGATACAGCTGCGCCGCTGTGCCAGCTGTGTACATACGATAAGAAATTCTCTGACATGAAAAGTTAAAAAGTTTGATGCAGGTTAATAAATTGAGGGTGAAACAATGATGTTTCTGGTATGTATTGATCTGAAACATATGGTTTGCATAGTAATTTACATAATTTAGCAAAGCCTGCAGATTCTTATATGAGTCTTTGGTGATGTACAACTGACCTTCTATCTTTTTGTACCATGGTCCTGTATCCCTCATACACTGATACAAATGCCACACCTCCATACATACTACTATCAGAGCTCGCTTCCTTGACCTGATAGTATCAAAGATGCATCATTTTGATGAATATCTCTAAATTGAAACAAATTCACCATACACACAATATATAAAACAAAGATAAATATACTGTAACTTATAAGGGTACTCTGAAATAGCCACAAGAAAATGAACCAGGCAAGAAAGAAGACAGCATTAAAGAATGGAAGCTGTTTCTCTATGAAATTAAATAGCTCTTGAGAGAGAATTGACCGTGGTGTTCAGAATTCTTCAAAGCCATCAACAAACCTCAAATTAAAAAACACAGCATGCAAACTAGGAGGAGACGACACAAAAGCAAATGATAATGAATAAATTCAGGACAGGGTGCTGTGAAAGGGAAGACTTTACAGAAGGAGCTGCAGATATGAACCTACATCCATGCTGTAGGATCCAGCTCCCTGAGAGATCTGGCTATGGTGTTCTGACCCTGAGGCTTATGAGGATATTTCTGGTAGATCTTGCTAACCACTGATAAGAAAGACAGGTTGGGCAATCTTCTTTCCATTTTTCAAACATTCTTTTGTGAACATTCCCCTCTTACATACAAAAACAAGCTCGGAATAATTACTCTTAAAGTGATCACACATCCCTTGAAATTTGCCTTTGATCATAACATAAGACATGACTGGCCAAAAACCTGTTCTACCCATAGATCTTGTTTTGGGTGACAGAATGTAATTGCAAATGTGCTGGTGGCCAATATATAACCTATATTTTTCAACTAAGACAAGAGGGATGCAAGAAAAAGTGAACACAGGATAATTACAAACAAGAGGGGAACATTCAATTTATCTTGGAAACTTGATAACTCAAATTAAGAACATTTTAGCAGTTTGGAAGACAATTGGAAGGAAACAAGAAGAAAATACCCCAAATGAATGAGAAAATAAGAATTGTATATAATATATTAATTGATAGTATAATAGATTCCTAAAATTTAACCACAACAAAAAAGGCATATGACCTTAAGTATCCACAGTAAGTGAACTCTGGGCTCTTTCTGTTTCACAGTGTTACCACAGGACACTGGCATTTCTTATAATCTTAGAAGACAAGAGGTGATCCTGCACTAACTCTAAATGTAAGAAGCAATGACTAATCACCAAACTTCAGTTAAGGACAAAGAAAATCCATCAGATTTTCCATCAGATTTTCTGAGGAAGCACGAAAAGGGCAAAGAAAATCTTAATGGCGCAATCACCTTAAGCAGCCATTTTCCTATAAGAACACAATAAAAGTCTGCCAAAGACATTTTACTTAAGCAAGTATAGAACCGTTCTCACTCTGGGAAAGATAGATAGGTGACAGATATGACCATGACCTGCAGAGAGACACTTTGAAAGAAACACCAGGACAAAAATAACCAGGTCATCAAAGCATCCACTACATAGACGCCAATCCCAAAGGGTTTCTGCTTCCATCTCAGCCAAGGCAGTTTCTCCAGAGTACTTCAAAGACAACACGGATAACACTGACATCAACAGCTAGGAGATAATGGCTCTTGACCAAATAAGGAGGAATATCTGGGACGAAGTACACCAGTTGCAGACCTGTCAGAAGGAGGAAATGAACTGAGAGTGAAAAAAGAGGGCTCTGGCCGTGATTGGGTGTGCACAACCCAGATGCCCAGGGACTACGCCTGCTCACCCTGCCAGAGAGTAAGCACATCCTGTATTGCTTAGTGGCCTTTGAGATCCCAGAGCACAATCAACCTCCAGCTTTAGCAAGGGAACGATTATCTGTACAATTACTACCTCTGACCTATGAAAGCTGGTGTCAGTATCTGATTGTGTGGCTTTAATTTGACCTTTATTAATAAAACAAATGTATTTGCACCACTTAATTATCAAAACTGATGCATGAGCTAAACTAATTCTACACTCACAAGTCCTCCAATAAGCACTTGCCGCTACAGCCTTTATCATTTACTTTGATACACATTTTAACTAAAAAAATAATAATTACTGCCAGTCCTGATAATTCTTTTTTTCTAAAAAAGATATTCAATAGATTTCCGTAGCTGAACATATAGCTCGTGAAGGTGGATGTGTACCAGACAGGAAGAAAGATTTTAAAACAGAAATACTGCTTCATACCCTTAATGAATCTGTATAATTCAGAAACTGAGCAGGATTTGAAGGAAAGGTAAATTGGGATTTGTTCTGCATCATGAAAGAATCAATGTTCTGTAATTATTTTAAAAAAGCAATAATTACTAATCCACAGATGAGAAGTCAGAAACACTGGCCGGCAGATATGTACTGAGTACACAAATGCTTTAAAAGTACGTTTGAGGAGACTTAAGTGGGAGTGGTGGAGAACATAAAAAGTCACTGTTACAATACTTGGTTACAAAAAGGCAAAACTGTTAAACCAGGTTAAGATGCAAAGGAGAAAGTCCTACAGAACAGTCTAAATTTTAAAACATGCAAAGCACTGGTGATTAAGATTAAAACGTGGGGATACTCGTGTGGATGGGTCTTCTTTATGATGTACTATGTCTGAATTGTGGCAGATGTAAGCACATACACACAGAGCACAATCAGAAAGGCACAAAAGCAGATTAAAATGCAGGAGGCTGTTAATTTCATTAAAACTCATTAAAATGTTACCAAGCTGGAACTTGTGCAGTATGAGAACATGCTTCATGGCTTACCTTTTTGACCTTTAGGGCTTGCTCAGCATTGGGACCAGACTCCAGGGTGTCTCTGCCCTCTGCTTCACCGTCTTTGCTTTCAGCTTCATCTTCACTAGTAATTGGTCCATTTTCAGATATGGGGGATTGGAAATCATCGTCTGGCAGGGGAGGATAGCTGTATTTAAAGGAATCCTAGAAGAAAGTAAGAATTGTACATAATAATAATAATAAAATAATAATAATAATAATATATCAGAAGAAAATAATATATTATTTTGGGATTACAGAATGAGAACAGAATCCTAGTCATTGGTACTCTGAATCTGAACAAGAGTGAATAGCAACCAAGAAGTGCATTTTGCCTGGTACAGGTAAAAAAAAACCAAAACATTTAGATTATCTATTTTTTTTACTAACTCCTGGGAATCTGCTAAACAAAACAAATATGCTTACAGTTCCTCCCATATGTGGTGGAAGGTATTCGGCACCAATGTACTCCTGTACGTCACTTTTTGTGACAAATTTCAGTTTGTTTATTGCCTCCGGGCCAAGCCAACTCTTCACAATCTTCCAGGCGGCTGAAGCAAAAAGAGCAAAAAAAAATAAAGTTCCCATTCACAAAAGTTAAGACTTTGAAATAACAAGTCTACATGTCTTCCGTGAGAACTTCACTTTAAACTCTTGTTGACCTGGAACTCAGGGTTTCATCACATCTCTGATCTCCGACCTTGTTTCCAATCGAGCTAATTATTTGGATAAGAAGTTGAGTAACCTGTTGAAGCACTTCAAAAAAACCTACAGGACTCCGATCCTGTATCAAAACATTCAGCAGTAACATAAAATGATTTAAAAACATGATATAATGAAAGAATACAATAAGTCCTGCCCATAAAGCCACAGGTAACTACAGCTGCAGTAATAAGAGAAAATTACTCTTTAAATCTGGTAAAAGGAGTAAGATTCTCCAAGTACAGCCAACAATTATTCATAATCAAACTCAGGAACATTTGTTCTGTATCTATTACAATGTATAATACATTTTACCAGTAAATATAGGATACTTAAATTAAAGTATATATTATAAGGTAGATATGAATTACTCACCATTCATAATCCATGGCATTTCATACATCACCATTTTAGCTAAAACAAAAAAAAAGATTTTTTGAGTTCTATAAGGGCAAGGCTCAGATTGTAAGCACTGATGGCAAAATAGGGAATAATAACTATATAGTACAGATTTAGAATTATCTGCATTGAAAGCTGAAAAAAGAAAATGACTAAACTATAGGAAGCAAGTACTGTATGTTACAAGACCTCTGGTACAAAGCACTTTTTTGTACAAATCCCTTTCCATCATAAATAATAAATGTATTAAAAAAACTAAAATATCAGAATAAGAACACATCCTCAAAACCATGCCGAGCAATCCAGCTCTGTGCAAAATCAGAACACTCTGTTCTTTGTTGTCTATGGATCTTGAGACAAAAGCAAACCCCACAGTGCACAGTGTACCTCCTCAGGTTTGCTTTCAAAGAAACACACAGGACGTCAAAAAGAGACAAGAAAGCTGACCAAAAGCAAGGAGATCTGAAAACAGCGTCAGACGTATTAGTATTCATGAACTCTCATGCTCCTTGTTTTCAGCTTTGAGTTCAATAGCCACATGTAAGCAAACTCTAATCCTGTTCTTGTGCTTTGAAAAAAAGATAATAAATTAAGAGAAAGCAAAGCAATACTAGATCCTACAACTGATTCCAGCTTATGCCTACTACAGTGCAAGCTCTTGTTTCCTCTGCAGTAAATAAAAAAACACAAAGCTAGAAACAAATTTGGTAGGAATTGTTATCAAAGTATATGAATAAACATAATCCAGGCACATTGCTCTTGCAGTATTACAATGCTGTGTACAGTACTACAGTTGTACAACATCAAAGGTGTCCTGAAGCAGTTTGGAGATACAGATGCTGTAGTTTTCTTATTGTAGGTAGCTAAAAACAGTTTGACATTTTTCCTGCTTCTCTCTGGTTTATTTGTGGTAAACATATTTTGGACATTCACTCCTGGTCCTGCAGGGCCACTGTCTTCCCTGGTTTTCGGCCCACACTTTGATCAATGTTGGACTCTTGAATGATTGGTACCCAAAGTTTCCAGGTCATCACTCATTGAGGATTTTAAGTGACCTTTAAAACCTGGCAGGCTGTAGCCCTGCTGGAACAGGGGTGAATATCACCACTATAGATGATGGTGTACAAGTGGCTGAAGGGGTGCCTGAAAAAGAACAGGCTTTTTGCGTTAAGCACGTCCATGCATATGCTTCAGTGACATCATGACTAAAAAAAACTCCACACAAGGATCATGTCTAGAAATGATTTCTTCCATTTATTTATTTATTTTGCACATCAGGCCTGCAAACATGAAACAATCAAACACTACAACACTTTCCTGATTTTCTGCCAATGATAAGTGAATAATAAAGTTACAAATGATTAGTAAACATAATTTTCAGGGTAGTTAAATACTTTGAGGTGAAAAGCAAACAAAAATGTTTATAAGAGTTCCAGTAAGTAAATATTTAACCTCCACATCACTGTTCTTCCTTTTCTCCTGTTAATCAAATACAGTTTCATTTACCCCAGCAAAAGGCCTATTCTGACATGTCATGTGTTTCTAAGGGTGTTATGGCAAATTCCAAAACAGAAATTAGTTATTCCAACATGTAAAATTAAAGTAGGTTATTATTGTAGGCCTTTATTCATACTAATTTGGAATAAAACCATAAAGAAAATATGAAACCTTCTAGCTCATGTATTTTCCTTATTGTTAGATACTGTGTAAAAGCAGGAAAAAAATCAAATTCTAACACCTTTGAATAATATTTTTTAGTATTTTTTTAAAGTCTAGCCTTTTTTAAAGGAAAGAGATTTAAATACAAATATGTTGATACTTACAAAGGAATTTAGGATAGTACACCTTGAAGCAATTTATGATGTACTTCACAAAGTCCATATCCTGAAACAGAAAAATAATTAAAATGTTCTTCTAACACAGGAGTATTAAAAATTGATTTATCAATATGCAATAATATTTTGGGCAATTTCAATTAATTCTAGTGTGCCTCTAACTCACATATTGTAGGTGAGTGTACGATTAAATAAGTCAAGCATTAAATTGAGAGCCTGAAATGCAACGTGACGAGGCACTGCTCTCATCAACAAGTTTTCCAAATTAATTAAGAGTACTGATGATGGAGTATTTACAGCACATCACCTTTAGCCTCTGGCTAGCTAGAATTGACTTCACATACTGTACATGAGATGATTATTTTAACATCACCAGTAAAAACTATCAGGCTTTTTTCTCAGATGCCTGATCCACAAAGAACACTAAATGTATAGAAATTGAATTGTTGGAACCTTTGGAAATTGAAAGCAAATGTTTTTAAGAGCCATGTAACTTAAAGAAAAAAATTCTCAAAGTGTTAATTAGAATTTGTGGTGTGCAGAATTTATCTCCAAGTGACACATCTGTCTTAGAGATTATATTATATTCATACAAGCCTGGTAAAGTGACTGAAAGGCAATTCATTTTCCTCCATTTCTACAAGAGACACTGGGTGGCCGGTACAGCATTATTATTACAGCAGCCCTGCATGCCAAATAAAACGTACATGCTTACAGACCTACATGCCTAGCACAAATATTGTTTGCTAAGTAACAAATAATGTTCGCTAAACAACAGTTTCCTAAACTTGATAAACTTGACACTGATGTCTCATCTAAGGCACAGCACCTGAATACTTCTGCAACTGCAAGTTGAAATCCAAGGTGTTACAGAAAGATGGAAGTAGGAATCTTGGCACATTTGTCAATGCCCTTTTTAAGAGGGATTTACGTTGTTTAAATTTTATTATATTATCAACACTGATATGATGTACAGGTACTTCTTTTTTTATTTTTCACCTACTGTATTATGCTGACTAAAACGAAGTATTGTTATTGTTTTCGAAAATACATTTCAGATGGTTGGCATACAAAATATTTTTTTCAAAAGCACAGCGCATGCATTTCCACCTCAACAGAGGTCCCCAAGGAAAATCCATTTTCAAGCTTGAAATGGAAAGCAAAGTTTATCAAATCAAGCAATGACCTTTGGATGTTTTTATTGTTTTCCCAGAAGCTGATGTGGAGTTTATGAATCACTGGATAGTACCCAAAAAGCCAGAGGTTTTAAATCATTGTTGTTTTTGTCTTTATAGTCATCAATTGCACAAAAACTAAAAAAATATTTCAAAATGTACATTTTCTGGTAGTAGGGTTCATATCTTTATATCAACATTTCTTCAGTGACAGCTAACAACCCTGTTGAATAGATAACCTATGTTCAATGTTTAAAGTGTTCAAACATATTGTGGGAAGTAATTTTAAAAAAATGAAACAGTAAAAATGATACAGTAAATTAAACACAACCTTTTATCCCACTTTATCATTGTAGCATCACATATAGTATATCTTTGCAATATAGTAATATACTTTGAATTATACTGATTTACTTGACTGATGTTTTCAAATTTAGAAAACATACATGTATGAGACATGCACGTCTCCTAAGAAGTCAATATCACAACACTAAAACGGTGGATAAAGGCGACATAAAATGGTTTTAAATATTAATATGATACAAAATAAGTCTTTTTAAAACGTTTTTATGGGTAAAGATTACAATAATGTTTAAAAAGATAACAATGACCAATACTAAAGGATGTCTTTTAGTCGAGCCTTGGTCTAGTCAACAGCCGACTGTGCTGGGATTCCTCAAGTGGAGGAGAACCACAGGCAGCACACCACCTGCTGGACTTCTGGGGAACTGCAGGCACTGGCAGGCCTGCAGTGATGTCAGTGAGAGATGTGCCGCTCCTCCAATCGGCACAAACTCCCCCCGTCAGTCACTGCAGAGGTTATCGGGTGTCTGACGAACAGATAGATGTCTCTGGGCTATCAAACAAGCATATCTGCAAGTCCTCCTTTTCTCCCTGCAGTACCAGAGACTTTAACAATTGTCAGGGTGAGGTACATTACCAAAAATAATGCGCAATTCCCAGTTTTTTCAAAAGAGACTAGTCATGACATTTTGACATGCTAGATATAATAGTGGCGTTTAACTCGAATACATACTTATTGATTACACTACTTTCTGCTTTTAGAATTTGCTTTTGAATTAAAAAAAATCAGTATGTGACAGTAGTTTGGGACTATGAAATGTATTCAGCAAAAAAAAAAAGCAAAAACAGCATATGTAAATGTAGCATAGAGCACTGCTCTTAATTAAAAAAATCGAATCCAGCAATGTTTCCATAAACAGAAAGGTGTGAAAAAGAACAGTTCTCTACTATGATAGTTACCTTAGCATGTTCCCTTCATGCTGCTTAGCCGAGAAATAAACAGAGTATTATTTTCAGCAGTGCCTTTTATCTTAGGATAGCTGACAATGCTGGAGTCAGTGCAGGAAGAAAAGGTTGCTACTGAACTCTCCACACAGCAATACAGTTTAAATCACAAAATCATCGCTTAATACATAATAAGGAAACTTTTGCTCAACTTTTATAAAAATAAGTGTCCTTCAGGCATGTCCTTTAATAAATTATAAATCTTCTTCTTCAGAAACCATGATAAAAAAATAATTACTCATTTTATCTTTTGAGAACTGAAGCCTCAGAGAATTACACATGCAAATCCAACCATATCTCATGAACAACCTTTTATAATAAAACCACCTTCAGCGAAAGAAGGATTTAGCTCTTTTTAATTTAACGCTGCGGTGTTCATCATAATGCAGAAGACACCAGTGACTTTTTTAAAGGTCTTCCTTAACCCTGTTTGAAGATCTTTCCCTCCTGTGTATTCACCAGTTTTTTTTTCTTTTCTTTTAAGAGGCCCAACAGGGGATGGTATTAATTCAATGTTTTCTTTTTATTCCTTTATCTAAAATTGAAGAGCTCAGGCTACAGCACCTGAATAACTAATCTACAAGTATTATGCAAGAAAACTGTTGTTGGGAGGATTATTCCAGAAAGGATCTTATCTTTATCTACTGAGGAGTTCAATGTAGTACATCCTTTTGACAGTTCAACACCGCCTCTACAGAAAAAGGTTTATAGTACAAAAAAATCCACATCTTTGAAACACACTTTTCACTTTTTTTAAAAAAAAGGACTATACCTTTATCTCTAACATGTCTATCATATAAACATACGGGAATGGATTTAATTGACTGCTTATTCCTGAAACAAACAGAAACTACAAAAAGCAGGATGTCCTGTATGCCTATTCTGTTGTGCTTTTGTAACTCGTCATGACACACCCAGAGCTTGCAAGTCTGTTACTGTCCAGATGCTGCCCGCTGGTCTATTGTCATACAGTTCAACACAGGACACAGCTTCCTGGGGTTTGCTTAGCACATCAACAGTTCTTTGTTTGCACTAGGTGAGATACAGCTAGCAAACTGTACTTGTCCTTCTATATGTTTCATTCAGAATTTCTTTCTTTTTTTTATTCCAATAATTCTACTGTATTTCATACACACATTGCACTATCGTAAAATACTTTGACTGCCACTTGAAAATTAATGCAGATGCAACAACAGCAAAAACACTATAAGAAATGTTTAAAAGTTCTCCTGCATGTACAGTATGTGTGAATAAAATAAATGTAAAATATCCTTAAAGTGACTGCATCCTTGTTGGACTACACTGGAGCTAAATTAGTGCAAGGATTAAAAAATATGCCTAGACAGATTACCCTTGCAGGATTTAGAGGTTAATGGCTGATCAGTTCCAATCCTTTGCTGCATTGCGTATTACATTCAATGTTAGAATGTATTGTAAACAAAGTCACCTAATTAAGAGACATGATGTCTACTAAGTCACTCCATTTAAGTAATCAAGAAAATAATTAAAAAACAACAGATTAACTCCTTGTTACTAAGATAATGCAACCTAACAACGAGGAGCAAAGTATGGCTTTTTTACAATTCATGGATTTAAGGTTAAGGTTTTTAATGAATGAACGGTGAAGTTAGAGAAAATAAAGAAGTCAGAAATATAGCAATTTGTCATTTGATAAAGGTTAAAACTTATTATATGGAAAAATACATAAATTAAAATTATTAAATTAAAATAAATTAAATCATTGTTCTTCCTGTTTTTCAACAATTCTATGGTAATGTACTGAAATATTAACTATTTTGTTGCTAACAGTGGATGCCCGCATTCTGGTTTTTTTTGTACTACAGAATATATGTATTTAACAGTAACAGCATAGATGTGTAGAGAGCAACATATTATGTTTATGATGAGTCAATAAGATTTGATGGGTAAATGTGATGTGTGTGCTACCATAATGCTTCAGAATGGTTTCTCATATGTGGTTTACCGAAAGCTATTGTGATCAACTTCTGATCAAGTGAGAATTAAAGATACTTTATTGCAATCATGTAATGGAAGATGGATTAGACACAATCAAAAGTTGCTAAAATAGTAAACATCACTACTGGCTCAAAATATTGTATTAGATTTTATCTAAGACTAAGACAGCAAAGAGCCTTGCACAGCAGTGTAATTTACTCAAAACTACAATTTTTCCACAGATTGCTCAGCCCTAGTTTGTTTATGCTACTGGATACAGTGACAGTATAACTTGACGAATTCAGCTTTGATAGAGTCATGCACAGATTGCACTGCACGCCAGCAAGCCACGTGACTTTCTAGAAACTCCTTTAAAACATTGCGTCTTCTGGGATGAATGTTGTTCAGCGTCTTCATGGACTGAAACATTTTTATCAGAGAAACAAGCTTAAAATACTCACGATATTGCTGAGCCCAGACTCTGACATATCGAACACCACGGTCAGGGGCATTCCAGGCTCTCTTTTCGCGTAGCGCTCCAACCAGAACGCCACGTATTTCTTCTTGTCCACCACCATCTTGGCATCCTTTACATGCAGCTTCACCTTGAACCAGACTAACATGACACACGGAAATACAGCACGATGAGGTTCATTTCAGGGCGGTCTGTATTTCAGGTAAAGACAAATGGGTCACAGGACACTTCATAAAGGAAGTGTAGTGTTTGCTATCAAAGTTTTCCGGAGGGGGCATTAGCCATCTATCTAAAGGAGGCAGGTTGTAATGGGAGATTTAAAAGGGTGCTCCAGTTCCATGGAGAAGTTAAGGTTACTTGACCAATAATATGACAGTCTTCTGTGTATTTAGCTCACTAATTGAATTTATACATTCCAAAATATAAATACAGTGTAATGTTAAAAACACGGTAAACAACAGCATTTCACCTTAAATCATTCGCATAGCTAGGCACACGAAAACTGAATACTCAGCTTTTTAAAAAAAATATAAACCATCAGCCCTTTCATATTTACAAATGCTGCTTTGAAAAAAGTAGGACAGCAGAAACCACAATACGATTATCCTTTGCCTGCCCAAATTGTGTTATGTTGTGTGATAGGTCTAGGGTTTGTGCTGCCTGTGGTGAAGACAACTAGATCAAGTTAGGTTGGAGGATGAAATAGCGATTTAGCACTGATTTGATACTGTTTAAAACTCTAATATCCTGTAAGTATATCGAAGGATGTTTCTAAATGAACACGGGTGCACCTCTGACTCAGGGGTGCAGGCCTGTGTTGAAGTGCTGGATTAATTCACTGGAGAAACAGTGTTGCAAACACAGTGCTCAGGCGATGCCTCTGGAGAGCCACAGCCCTGCAGGTCTTATAGGTCGCCCTTAAATCAGCAGTTTCTAAAGACCTGGGACACACTGGAGTTTTGATCATTTTATTCAGTTAACTGGTTCAACTTACTTCATGTGGTCACTTAGTGACCAACTGGGATTCCTGGGGAACAAAGAGTGCTGGGATTTGCATTTCAAAAGATTGCAAAACTGCCTAATCATCCCTTGAAGTGGGTGAAAAGACACTGTTCTAAGCATTTGGAAACTGAACACGTAAGGGTGATGACCTATAAAGATCTGCAGAACTAGTGTTGCCAAACTCTGCTTTAGAATTCTCAGCTCCACCAACAGCGATGTTGAAACGTGTTCTTTTTTTTGCAGACAATGTCCTAAAATTAACTAGCTCAAAAAAGAAACAGCTCAGGCTCTTCTTCAGACTAATTAGGATGTCTGATTTGATTGCAAGGGGCAAGAAAAAGCTTTTAAATAATCTAAATGCATGAGTGGCAGCAAAAGATAAAAGTACCAATTACCAAGTAGAAAATAGAGCAACTGATAAGGTCAAAGGAAAAAAAAAAGAGTCTTTAAATAAAACTATTGTCATTACAATAGAATATAAAGTAAAATGATATTTAAAATTCCTTGAAGCACACAAGTATTATCACAAGTATTAAAACAGCAAACTATTTGTATTTGTCATACCCAAGAATTGAAATCCTCTCCTCTAGGACAAATTATTTTCAATCCCTTAAGAACTGCCATGTTTTTACAATATAAAAATAAAAACCACACTGGTAAATACATAAAAACAACTTACATAACTTGTTGCCCTCTTTATCGTAACCATGGAGATAAACCGCACCAGTTTCAAACATCCACCGGGGGATACTGCTCTCAGTGAGATCTGCAGCACAACACAGATTGACACTCATACCAGTAAGGCGATCCTTTGGAAAAAAGAAGCCCAACTCGTCTGAAGCAAAAGCAAAGAGAAATGCCCGAAGCACCCTCAGGCTGACAGCCGGGCCTCATCTGCCAGAGCCAGTTCTACAGCTAAAGAAAGCAAGAAGGGGCTCCTGAAGCAAACCTTAGAGACAGCCTCATATCGTGAATACGGCGCGTAAATGTTATTTTTTTAAACTGGTGCTCTATGAAAATCCACATTTTGTACATCTCCTTTTTCTAAACCAATTATGGGCTTTGACGGGCATTCTGGTAGGAAAATTCCCTCATGTAAAACAAAAAGTACTTCCGTTTTACCACTATCTAGCTAACAGTGGTAAGAGGCCTGAGCATGTGAGAATTAGATTGTTTTGAGACAGATTAACATATTTGAATAATTTAAGCATTGATGCTGACCATAAAATGTTTGATGCTATTAGCTAGTTTTATATGTCGTTACTAAGAAAATGTCTGTGTTTCATGGGGGGGGGGGGGTCCTCTATTTTACAACAACAAAAAAAGAGAAAAAAAAAGCAGAAATGACTCTGCGTATGAAGGGGAGAGGACAGGATTTTGCCGTCATTTCTGTTATACTGTAACTCCTAATACTGCTGTTTCAATGCACTTGCATCTGTGATGCTGCTACAAAGCACAGCCCAGAGAATGTAGCCCACATGGTCAAAAACCAAACAATCCAGCTATTGTTAAATAAAACGTCTCTGTTCAGAACGTGGTTAAGAGAAAAACATCACATTTAATACAGTGATTAATTCTAAACAATATATTTTGCACCTACAAAGATCCGCTACGTGAAGATAAATTCATTTGCAACAAGGTTCTTTAGGTTGAAGGAGAAATATTCTGCTCTTGCTTAAGAGTGCAATGCACTGTGGTTTATGTGGATATAAGAACACTGATTTTCAGTCTTTCACTTCAGCAAATGCTCTGTTAGACAGGAAGAGAAACAGGACACACCAATGCAAACTGCCTATCAAAAGACTGTTACTTGTGATGAGTGAAAATTAAGAATAACAGAGTGGTGGTTAGCACTGTTGCCCTACAGCTCTTGGGCTTTGGGTAAAAATGACGGCCTGGGAAGCCTTCTGCGTGGAGTTTGCACGTTCTCCCCATACAGGTGTATGTTTCTCAAGGTGCTCTGGTTCCCTCCCACTGACAAAAACTTGCTGGTCAGGTTAACTGCTGTATCTAAATTGTCCCTGTATGTGTGCATTTTTGCATACATGTTCGTGTACATGTATTGTGACACCCTGTTGTGCACGTGTGTGGATGTGCACTGCTACAGGTTGGTGACCTCTCAACAGTGTAGCCTGGCCTTGGACTAACATCAGATTGTAAGCACTGGAAAGCCAGGATTACATGCCATTCTGAAAATGCGGTGGAATTATGTGATATTTAAATGTCTGCATTTGACAGTACAGTCATAAAGCATGATTATACTTGCAAATCACTACATGCATTGCCATAATGAGATTTTCCTTTAAATCTTCCTGTTGTCCACTTTACGCTATCTTTTAAAATGAGATTAATATACTTTACTGTATAAATATATAAACGCATGCAATTGGAAGTTTACATAAACACAAACTTGTGTTAATATGATAGATAAGGATGTAATAAGGATGAAAAGTTAAACTTACTTTTACTTGGCCTTTCATTTACTACTAGTATTTGCTCACTGGCAGGGCTGCAACACTGGGTTCACATAAGGTAAACACAGTCAGTTTACATGGCAGTTTGAAATAGTTTAAGTGTGACAAAGTGATTGATCGTGCCTTTTAATTCCCTCTGTCTTAACACTGTGCTTCTCTTTAAGAAAGAGGATGTCACATGCTGTTTCACAAAGTCTACTTTACTTAATAGTTTCAAAGTGCATAAAATTCCTGTGATTGGATACTACTGACCAGAAATTAGTTCCTTTTCTGCCCTTAATTTGTGTATTAACATAAAGAGGATTTGGATTCCAATCCATAACTGCCAAATGGCAAGCACAATTACTTCTGTGTAATCCTGTGAAATACAGTAATAACCTTTGATTACCAAGTGCTTTTAGATGCATGGTAAAATATCCTACCAGTGATTGGATTTCATGGATTGCAAATTTGAGGTTTAAATAAGTGCAGATATGCAAACACACATCTCACAGAAAAGAGCACATCATACAAATCAATTATACTAGAAATGTCAAATCTGTGCACAGTACTGTCTGGAATAAGTCACAGTTTTGTACGCCTACTTAAATGACTAATTCTAAAGAGCACAATAGTTTGTTGGCGCCAAAATAAAGAATCACTTACTGAACCTCTGTCACCAACAGTAAGTCAAAAAAGTATATTTTTTATTTAAATTATAACAGTAAGCACCATCAGCATCATCTTGGAAATTCCTGTCCATAGCCTTGAATCTCAGAGCTGACATTTGACATACAGTGGTATTTATTATAATTTGATTGTGAATTATATAATAATAATAATAATAATAAT